TCTAGGCCCACCCCAGGCTATTTACCACTCCTTGGTCTTCTCATTATCTTTTCTTGTATATAAGTACCAATCTTATCCCTGTCAAATTTTTAAAAAATTATTTATATATATTTATTTATTTTTTGGGTGAGGCAATCAGGGTTAAGTGACTTGCCCAGGGTCACACAGCTAGTGAGTGTTATGTGTCTGAAGCTGGATTTGAACTCAGGTCCTCCTGACTTCAGGGCCAGTGCTCTAGCCACTGTGCCACCTAGCTGCCCCTGCACCACCTAGTTGCCCCATCCCCTTAAATTTTGAAGATTCACTAGGGAATCTTGCCCACTCCCACTGGCGTTACAATACTGCAGATTTACTAGGAATCTTGCCTACCATAGTGGTGTTAAAATAAACCTTACTACTTTGACTGAAAGAAAGCTTGAGTGGTTGAATTCTTTCCCCGTACCCTTGCATTTCAGGGTTCCCAACTCCCCAAACTGCAACAGAACAAAGAGAGAGTAGTGTCACAAAAACCTAGAGAGAAGAATATCAAGAGGATAACTGATAGTGTCAAAGGCCACTGGATTTGTCAGTTAAGAGATGGTTAGTAACTTTTCTGAGAGCCGTGTTAGTTGAATGATAAGGTTGGAAGCCAGATTGTAGAGTCTGAAGAGGAAAGTGAGAGGAAAGGAAATAGAGGACACTCTACCCTTCTCAGAGTAAATATTTGCTTTAAAAATTTGTTTATTTTATTTGTAATTTTTGTAGTCAAACCCTCAAGGTTAGTTGATGCCTTCGGTCAGAGAGGGAGACTGAAATCTGAAGTCTTCTGACTCTCAGGATCTGGCTTTGCTCAGCCTGCTTCCTTTGTAATGAGGCAAATCCTTCTGATGACTCATTATCTTTGCTGGCCTATTACCTACAATACTGTATATACAACTGATGGCTATCCCTGATGGTCTGCAGTGAAGTGGATCCAGGCTCTTCATCAGATATAGAGCTGTAACAGACCTTACCGAATATATAGTCTAAAGCAGGGCTTCTTAAACTTTTTCCACTCTCAACCCTTTTTTGCCTGAGAAATTTTTACGTGACCCAGGGTATGTAGGTGTTGGAAAAATCTCAAACAAAAATCTACTACAGGGTATGTGAAGGAAAACCTTTATTACTCTTCTCGCGAGAAGCTGGCACACCCCACCCTAGTGGCACATGTGCCCTGGTACAAAAGAAGAGTCAACTTTTAAAAGGTAAGTAAAAATCCATACTTTCAACTTCATCTTTTAACATAAATGTTACAATTTTTTCCTTGAAGCAACATGTTTAAATCATCGAGTTTTTCAAATATATCCAACAAATAACACAGTTTTGAAAGCCGTAAGTCATTATAAAAAAAAATAACAAAATCGAATTTCTGCTCAGTCAAAAATATAACAATTTCATCTTTCAGTTTCAATAATCTGCTTAAACTTCATCCTCTTGAAAGCCACCTTACCTCTGTATGTAGTAATAAGCTTTTGTAATTGAAGTCCATGTCTTTCCAAAGGTTTGAAAACAAATGACTGTTAAGGGCATGGCTTTTAGTGAAGTTACTGATTTTGATAGTATTGCAAAGGATAACATCTAACTCTGGTGATATTTTTTTGGCTACGAGTGCCTCCCAATGGATCATGCAATGAGTAAAAGTGATATGGTCACTGGTACTGATGGGTTGGGATCTAGACCCCAGAAAGGAAAAACCCTGGACTTTCCCACATGGCCAAATCTCTGACGTTTGCCTGAGGCTATAATCCCATCAACTAGCCTTTCATTGTGGCTACTCCCAATCTCCCAATTCTCTGTTACCCTTAACCTAGCCTAGCCCTCCATTGTCTTACCTCCCCATGGCCTCCCAGCCACTTTCCACCCTTAATCCTAGCTAGGCTCCATTCTCCCTTGGCCATGTGGCCCAGGTCCCCTGGTGTAGCCTCATAGACTACTTGGCCACTCCTAGATCCCTCTCATAGTCTTTCTGTATATAAGGTCCATCTTGTCTTCATTAAGATGCTTAGATTCTTATAATCTAGCCACTGCTTAGATTTTTACAATCTAGCCAATACCTCACAGACTCTCAGATTTCTTGAGTCTAGCTAACATGGCAGATCTTTAATAAACCTTATCTTCGGCTGAAAGAAGGCTTGGGTCTAATTCTTTTGGGCAGGACCTGAATGTAGTGATCTCAGGGTCCCAGCACCCAGCTTTAACTTTTGTTACAAATTCAATATTCTAGCCCATCATTGCCCCAGCACCATCTGTACAGACTCCAATGCAATTTTTTTCCACTGTAAACCTTCATTTGTAAAAAATTCATCAACTTTAAGATATATATCTTCCCCTCTTGTGTGCCCTTCCAAAGGGTGACAAAACAATAATTCCTCATGTATACTTCTTTCATAAACATATCTCACATAAAGTAACAACTGTGCCATGTTAGAAATATCAGTTATTTCATCTAACTGAATTACAAACTTTGGGCTGCCCTTATTACCAGGTATTACTGGTAATAAGCTGCTGGGGTTGGTCATTACTAATTTGGAAACAGTATCATTTGATAAAAGAATTTTACAAATTTCATCCCCATATTTTTTCCCATGAACTATTTCTGACATTTTAATAGCAGCAGGTTACACAAGATCTCCTATGCATGTGGCTTTTTAGTTTTTGCAATTAAATAAGTGTAAGATGCAAGTAAATACTTTTTGTTGACAGTAACACGCTTCTCAAAACATTGTTTTTCTTTATTTGAAGATTTTAAAAGTCATTCAAAATATATCTTTGGTTTATTACAGTACGCTGCATGCTTGGTATTAAGTTGCCATTCTAGTTTGGCTGGTTTCATGCTCTCTGCAGCCAAAACTTCATTACAAATTAAACAAAGAAGTTTTTTCACACTATCATCATTGTTAGGAGTAATCTATATTGCAAAAATTATTTGACATATTTTTCTTTTTCTAGTCAATTTAGATATACTACAACCTGGTAGTGAAGACTGCATTATCATCAGTATTTTTTACCTCTTCTATCATCCATAACCAAAAACTATTTTTGTCCTAAAATATAAATATTGCTAATAATTTCTCAAATAAATACTAGCCTCAGTGTATGAAATTACATTTGTTTGTGCTTAATTTTAAAAATTGATGTTCACACTTACATACACATACAGTGGTGATGGTGGAGAAATAGTATTAAAGGGCTTTTGTCTTTACTTGCTGCAATTAAAGTTATTTTTCTGCAAAAGAAGGAGATAACAGCAGTTTTAAAAATCAAACATTCTCACACAATCCAATCCAAAGATATACTAATTTGATACTTACATATTGAGGAATGATGGAAGGAAGATATTAAAAATCTTTACTTTCCATAATTAAACTATTATGTTTCTGTAAGAGCAGAAAACTTTGTATGTACAGTAAAAAACACTACAATTCATAACATACAATCATCTCAAATCTAGCAAAGGTGTTTTTGGCAGCTTTCCTTGATGCCACACAGCATGATGGCATGCGCAGTGCAAAGTGCACATGTTGTGTATTCATAACCAAGGCTGCAGTGAAGTTGCTTGATGCAACACAGGCAAGAACTGCCAGAAACACCTCGGATTCATTACGCATTTGATTTTGAATTAATTTTTGGTCCTTGGGTGTTGCCAAATTTTCCACAACCCCTACATTCAATTACACAACCTCATATGGTGTTGCAAGCACTGGTTCCCCTCCATCTTACAAATGAGGAAACTGAGGAAGTGACTTGCCCAAGGTCATATAGGCATTAAATAGCAAAGATGACCCTGGAATCTCAGGGCTCCAGGCTCTTTCCTCTAGTCCACTTTACTCTTCCTAGCTAGTAGTCTATTAGTTTTGTGATCTTGGACAATCAATTTACCTGTCTAGGTCTCGGTTTCATCTGTAAAATGGAGAGAATATTATCTGAGGATCAATTGAAGTAATACATGTAAAATGCACTGGAAACAGAAAAAGCATTTTGATATAAACACCAGCTTTTCTTGTAATTATTTAGATTCTACATCTCAAGTAAGGGCGATCTCGAGAGCAGCATGAGCGAACCTCTGCTTTGGGAGGCAGATCCCCCGCTGGAGAGGGTGGCTGGGGGAATTACTATTGGGTAAAGGCGTGACTTCGCGGAGGGGCGGATAGCAGAGCGGAGAACTACAATTCCTAGGAGGCCACGGGCCAGGCGCAGAGAGGTGACGTCACAGACGTCGCAGGTAGGTGACGCGCCAAGCTTTGCCAGCGGGGTTGCTGCTGTCGCTCTTACCGCTGTTGCCGCTGGTAGTTACTACTGTTCAAAGAAGACGCGGCTCCTGGCCACCTCCAGCCCGCCGCCCCGGGCTCCTCGACCGTCTGGCCCTGAGTGGTGAGGTGAGGCAGGGCAGGAGCTGGAGGGGGCTGGAAGGGCAGGGGGCAGTTGGTTGAGAGGGAGCTAGGGTGTCTGGGTCCGGGCTAGGGGTAGCAGGACCTCAGCTCGAGGATGGGGCAGGATGTGTGTGCGCATGTTCAAAGTGGGGGTGATCAGAGGAAAAGGTGTCCAGAGGAGTGGGGGCCCGAAGGGGGACTTCAGAGGAGGGGGTGTGCGCATGTGCAGGAGGGGGTCAAAAGGGGGGGTCAGAGGAGGGGTATGCGCATGTGCAAAGGGGGTCAAGGGGGTATTGTGCAAGGGAGAAGTCAGGGGAGGGGGCGTGCGCATGTGTAAGGGGAATAAAGGATGGGAGGAGTTGTGTGCGCATGTGTAAGGGGTCAGCGGGGGTGTGTGTGTATGTGTAAAAGTGGGTCAGGAGGGGGTGTGTTATGTGTAAGTAGGATCAGAAGAGGCGTGCGCATGTGTAAAGGGGGGTAAGAAGAGGGGGTGTGGGCATGTATGGGAGGGTCAGAGGGAGAGTGGGCGGGGAGGGGGTATGCGCATGTGTAAGAGGCGCTGAGGAGAGGGTGTTAGGGGAGGGGGCGTGTGAGTGTGTGAAGTGGAGTTGAGGAGCTGGGTCAGGGTGTGGACACGTGTGGACACGTGTATGGAAGGGCCTGGGGGGTTGTTGTCAAGGCTGCCCAGGCATATGTGTATGTGGGGCTCTGGTGAGGAGTCATGAGGAGAGGGGTTAACAGGACTGCTTATGAGGAGTCGTGGGGATGGAGTCATGCTTGGGAGAGGTGATTATGATCCTGTATATTGGAGAAAATCGAGAGAGATTGTGGGGATAGCGTGGAGAGTATATGTGTATGTGTGTATATGTGCATTTGTATATGTGATTGGAGAGAGGATTTGTATATGGGGGGACTGGGAAGGAGGGATCAACTGAGTGGGGCAGTATGCCTGTGTACATGGTGGGGTATCTGTGTGTGTATAGGGGTGCCCGGGGGCGGGGCGAGAAGGCTCAACTGGACGATGGGGAGATGTCTATCTGCACGGGAAACCCCAGGTGGGGGGGAGGGAAATAGGGACAGTGGGACTGAGGGGAGGTAGGATACTGTACAAAAAGTGGAGAGAGTGGGCTCTTTGGGGGATAAAGGTTTAGGACTACTTTGGTTGGGGTCAGGGTGAGTGGAACAGTCAGCGCAGACTGAGTGAGGGACTGGGTTAAGCTGGTGGGTCTGAGTTGTAGAGCTGGGTCCTGCTGTGCGGTGGTGGTGGGGAGGTCCTAGCTCAGAAATCCCCAATTTTAGTTGAAAACTCCTCCTCCTTCTCTCGCCTCTCTGCCCCAACTCCTCCCCCTATCTTTAGTTGTGTACTGAAGCAGCTGTTTTCTAGTCTGAGAGGAACGGCCTCAGAGGTGAGTGGAAGAGGGAACTTGAGAGCTGGGAAAAGGGTCTGGAGGGGGAAGGTAGTTATTTGGAGGGGAGTCACATTTTGTCACTTGGATGGCAAAGAAAGTGTCTGAATTTTCCCCCCAAAGAGTGGATGGGTTGTTTTTAAAAGGCTGCTTCTTTCTTAGCTGCTCTTGGGGTATGTGGAAGGGTTGTGTGTAAGGGGAGAGGGGTTGAGGGGTCTGACATTCTTATGTGGCTGCCAAACTACAGGCATATCACCCTGGTATCAGGTTGGATGTCCAGCAAGGAAAAAGTGTATGTTCTGGAAAGGGTTGTCTGGCAAGGGATCTTAACAAAACTGCTCCAGGCTGTAGTCTGGCACAGATCAGGTTATGAAACCAAAACAGGCACTAGAGCTTGTCAGCCTCAACTGCCAGTGGGGACTCTGTGCAGGCTCACTGCAGGACTACTTCTTTTTGTTGTTGTTATTAATTTATTTTGATTTGTCAACAATCACTTCCATAAGCTTTTGAGTTTTAAATTTTTCTCCCCCTCCCTCTCCAAGACGGCATACAATCTGATATAGGCTATACATATACATTCCTATTAAACATATTTTCACATTAGTCATGTTGTAAGGAAGTACAGGACTTCTTTTCACCTTAAGCCTTAGAGACCTTCCTGGCTGGTGGTCTCTAGGAGAAATTGGACTGCAGGAATGGGAAATATTATTAGATTGTCATTTCATTTATGGGAATGTTGGGCATTTTAACAGCAGGTGTGCATATAAGGCTCCCTGGCTCTCTTATCTGTCTGCTCTTCTCTCCCCTGGGACTCCTGGTGGTTTCTGCCCTCCCATATCTGTGACCTACATGTTGCATTTGAGAATTTCATTGAGCTACCCAACCTGGATTAAACTGGGAACTGGGTAACAGCTGGAATGGCAGTCATTGCTACTATTCTCTCCTCTTCCTCTCCCTGCTATTAAACAGTCAACAGGTGCTTTCTGTGTGCCAGGGACTGTGCTAAGCCCTGGAGATACAAGGAAAAAGCAAAGACTGTCATTGTCCTGAAAGAGTTTACATTTTAATGAGGAAGACAACATGTTCCCATATAGGCACATATGAGATACCTACAAAGTAGATGAAAGATCCCATAGAGGGGAAGTTATTAGCAGCTGGGGGGACTAGGAAAGGCTTCCTGCGGAGGTGGTGTTTGAACTGAGTCTTGAAGGAAGCTCTGCATGCTGAGAGGCAGAGAGGAGGAGGAAGAGCATACCAGACATGGGGGAGCAGCCAGTACAAAGGCACAGAGGTGGGAGATGGTATCTGTTGTGTGAGGAGCAACAGTATGGCTGAATCACAGAGTGTATGGAGGGAGTAATGGGAAAGAAGACTGGAAAGAGGAAAGGAACCGGGTTGTGAAGAGCTCTGTGCCAAGCAGAGGAGTGGGCCTTTGATCCTAGAGGCAATAGGAGCCATTAATGTAGGAAGAGTAGGGAAAAGGGAGATAGTTTTGTTCTTTAGGAAAATCACTTTGACAGCTTTATGTGGAGGACTGATGAATTGGAATCTCCATCTTGAGACAGAATGTTTAGGATGCCATTGTAATAGTCAAGGTGGGGGGTGATCAGGGAGCTAAGGTGGCAACTGTGTGAGTAGAGAGAAGGGGATGTATGTTGCAATGTTATGGAGAAATCTCAAAATTTGGCAACTTATTGTATATGTGGGATGAGTGAGAGTGAGTTGAGGATGACACTGAGGTTGTGAATTGGGTTCCCAGAAGGATAGTGGTGCCATAGGAAGAGTAGGAGAGTTCAGAAGAGGAGTAGGCTTGAGGGGGGAAAGACAATGAGCTGTATTTTAGACATGGTAAATTCAGATTCAGGACCAAAACTCAGAAGAGAGACTAGGACAGCATGTAAGGATCTGGCAGTCATCTCCATAGAGGTAGTAATCTAATTCACGGGAGATGATGAGATCACCAAGTCATAGAATATAGAGGGAGAAGAGAAGAGAGCTCAGGATTGATCCTTGAGGTATGTACCTAGTTAGTAGGTGTGACATAGATAAAGAGCTAGCAGAGGAGTTTGAGAAGTTGTTAGGTAGTTTAGAGATGAAAAAAGTTCCCAGAAGAGGTGGTGATCAACAGTGTCAAATGCTGCAAGAGAAGTCAAGAAGGATTAGGACTGAGAAGAGGCCATTAGATTTGGTTAATAGAGATCTTTGGCAACTTTGAAGAGAGGCATTTCAGTTGAATGATGAAGTCAGAAGCCAGATTACTTAGGATTTGTTTAGAAGAGAATGAGAGAGGAGAGCCAGTGCAGACACTGAATGTAGATGGCTTTTTCAAGAGTTTAGCTGAGAAGGAAAAGAGTCTTAAGCCTGTAGCTGGCAGAATAGTTGCATCAAATGAGGATCGAAATTTTTTTTAAGGATTCAAGAAACTTGGATATGTTTTGTAGGCAACAAGGAGAAATGGAAGATTAGAGAGAACAGGGAAAGGTAGGAAAGGGGATGGGATCAGGGATTCATGTAGAAAGCTTGGCTTTGGGAAGGAGTAAGGCCAGTTCTTCAAGACACTGAAGTAAAGGAGGATAATGGTAGTCTTTGTATGCATCCTGAGGGTCTGGGGTCAAGAATGATTCTTGGCCCCATCTTGAAGTATCCTGGGGGCTGTTGGTGTTCTTGTCATTCTCTAGGTGTGTGTGGAGAGTCTCCTAGCACTTATGGCATTATTAGAGTCCTAAAGTAGACTCTGTCTCCTTCTACTTTCTCATTGTCATTAGAACTTGGTGGCTCCTTCCTTCCCAGTTACTGGAGGAGGATTCATTTTATTCTCCAGTATTTGGGGTCCTAGGATCACACAACCCTAATGACCAGGCACTATCAGAACTCTGAAGGTAACAGGAATTAGTGACTCCCTGGATATTGGTTCTTATGAATCAAACTGCCCCAGAAGTACCTGGTCTGGGGAATAACACACACCTTCACCTGTATTCCACCCTCCCACTCCCGTACCTAGGCCAGTAAACAACTGAGCTACTTCCAGTTTTCTAGCTTCTTGTATTCTTGTTTGGCTTAATTACCAGTTTTAATAGGCTGTAGTGATTAGTCCCTCTGGAAGCTTAGCCTATCCAGGTTTCACTCTGGGGCCTGACTTCCTTGGACTTTGTAACCCCATTGTGGATATATGTTTGTTACAGAGAATGAAGGTTTCTTTTGAAATCATAAAGCCCTAAGCCTGAGAAAGTGACACGTTGGGAGAAAGTTTGCCCTAAACGTCTTAGGAAATTTAGAGGCTGGGACCCAAGATATGTGGCTCCTGACAGTGTAGGAACTCTGGGCAAAGGTAGTCTGCCTCCTAGAACTGATTGGCTCTTTTGGATGAGGAAATGGGGCAAGTTCACACTTGGACTGTGTGGTTGGGGTGGGGTGATGTTCCGAGGCACTTTTCTTGTCCCCCTATGTCCTCAAGAGATATGAGACCATTCTTTAGGAAAATGCCTTGTGGTCTCTGCAGGCACCCCCAAGGTCTCAAACGCCATGCTGTCAGCCCCTCCTTCTTGAACAATCAGTAAAAGCTCCTCTAGCCAGAGGAGAGTTACAATCCGCTCCCTCTTCCACCAGGATGCTAGGGTCATCAGGGAAACAAAAACAGACAAGCTGGAGGCAAGAGAGCCCCCCTGGAGACTTTAAACAACAGAAAACAAATGACAGGCTCTTTGAGGTGAACCAGGGGCTGGGGAGAGGGGGGCAGGGCAAATGAAGAAGTTGCCCCAGTCGAGAACTGGCAAAGGGTAGAGTCTGAAGAAAAGTACTTTCCTAGGTGCCTGGCCCAGGATGGAGCAGTCTGAGCAAGACCAAAGGGAAGGCTGAGGCTCACAGCCTCACAGAGGAAGTGCTCAGAGAGGGACATAGGCTGGGAAAGTCACTTTGTTACATACATGTTTCTCTGCATGCTTCATTGATCCCATACTTAATACTTCTTCAAACATGTTTAAACAAAAACTTCACCCCTCCCCCCAAAAATAGGGTCTTCCTCTTGCCCTTGCTCCTTAGCCCCTCAGCCCACTTCTGGATGCATTGACTCTTGATTTTTTCCAACTCCTGTGCCAATTAGAATGGCCATGGGAAGCAGGAGAACTTGTTGGGCTCCCACAAGTGGATGTGGAAATGGTGTGAAAAGGTGCCACCTCTTCCTCTTTCACTTCAGTTAGGAGAGGCAAGCCAGAATAAGGAGGGGCAGAGGAGGGAGGAAGTATTGAAGAGGGATGGCTTTGTGTTCCTGATGGCCTCAGGTACAGGAAGAAGGTTGGTGGATACTGGCCAGGAAGCTCCCTTTCTTTTCTGCTTTGGATTAAGGTTGGCAGTGGTAGTGATGGAGGGGTGCCTGTCTTTGAGGCTTGGCCTCAGAGTTGGTGGCAGCCAGAGAATTTCTTTAAAGGGAGAATGGCACATCTCGGGGGGCTGGCCAGTACAACTTCCATTTGGGACTCCCAGCTCGTGGGGTAGAGAGGCAGGATCAGGATCTCGTTGGAAGTTGTCTTTGCCTTGCCAATCTCTTAACCCTGCATTAACCTTTTGTGGCGGGAGCAGCATGCATCTATCAGTTTGGAGGGTGGCTTGTGGGAAGTTACTGGTAAGAGAGACTTCTGCTGTTGGCCCCTACAGGTCCGATCCTCCCACTCTTCCTTCTAATCCTGTATCCCATGGGATAGGAGTTGGGACAGGAGGAGAAGAAAGGAGGCACAGGCCGTCCCTGAGATACAAGAGCAGCCTTGAAGTTGAGGTTCCTGTTGTGCTGCTGTCAGAATGGTTAAGGTGGAGATTAGGGGAAGAGGGAGGGTTCTTAGCGTGTCCTTGGCCCTCTGGCAAGGATAATTTCTTTTCCTTCTGCAGTTTTATGAAGAAAGGATTATTTCCATTCTGATAGGAGTTGGGGGACTACAGGGAATTGGTTTTCCTTTGTAGGTTCCTGCTGCATTCTATTCCTGATTCCTCCTCTGCTGTGGGGAGAGGTCAGAGGACTTGGGAATGACATTTGCAGCTGCTTCCGGTTCCTGATTTCCCAAAAGACTTGTCCCAGTCAGGGTCGGTTGAGTGGGGGTGCTGTTTATCTCTACCTTGCAGTATGAAATAGCAAGCTGAGTCCATATTGGTTTCTCACCTGTTCCCTTCTCGGGCATAGAGATTAAGCAGGTGAATAGAAGGAAGCCTCTAGGCAGGGGCAGGGAAGAACCTTTTCTGCTACCTTTTTTGGGGGAGAATCTGGATCGATGGGGAGTGGAAGATGGGGTACTCCTACCTCTCCTCAGGAGAACTTGAGTCTTGTGCTGGGAGAGCCCAAAGCAATGTTTGAGCTTGTGTCTACCTCCAAACCCCTATGTGCTGGTTTCAGAGCGGCAGCCCCAGGGGCGGCAAGATGAATGTGGGCACGGCGCACAGTGAGGTGAACCCCAACACGAGGGTGATGAACAGTCGGGGCATCTGGCTCTCGTACGTGCTGGCCATCGGGCTCCTCCACGTTGTGCTGCTCAGTATTCCTTTTGTCAGCGTCCCAGTCGTCTGGACCCTCACCAACCTCATCCACAACATGGTGAGGATCCTGATTATACTGGTTGTATTCCTGGCATGACTCCAGTATGGTGACTGTTCCAGATGTGCAGGTGATATGGCTGTGTTATCCAGCTGGCTGTCATGGGGACAACCCCAGGTGTTTTCTTACCTACTGCTAAACAAATGGCTGGGCCCTGATTTGGTTCTTAGGGTAGTTGAGGTCATCTCCTCAGCTCGTTATTTTTAAGTGTCCTTCCCTCTACAGCTGTACAGATCCCCAGGAGAGATTTGTGCCAAAAATGAGTATATAGGGGTGGTAACACAGAATAAGAAAGCCACTGAGAGCTGAGCTGAGGGCCAGGAAGAATGTCTGTAACCCAAGAATCGCTTGCTTTTGGCCCTGTGTTGGTCCCTTTCCCCCCACTATTTTTAATCAGCCATTTTCTTGGGCTAGAACCTGTGTCTGTTCTCTCTTATAGATTCCCCTATTCTCTGGCCGTCCCTCACCACCCTAAACCACTGAACCAGATTTAGTCTCATCCGCTGGGGAGCTTAGACCTCTGCCCATTTTGAAAGAGATGAGGGACAGGAACCCGTCTGTCCTTAATCTCTGTGGGAGGATGCTCCCTAGCCAACGTCAGGGAGGCCAGGCCCAGGACGTCTTCACTGGGCCTTTGGTGCTCATGCTGCTCCCCTCTCCCCTTGTGCACTTTCCCTTGAGTCATGACTCTACTCCCCTGCCCTCTTATCCAGACATGGAGTCATCCTCTAGTGTTCTGTCTTCTCTCTGTTGCCATTCTCCCAGTCATGTAGTCTTTGCCCCTTGGCCTATAGCCATCTGCCTACCACTGGCAGAAGGACTTGAGCTTTTAGTCTCATAGCCTTCTTCCCAGATTGTCATTAGCTCATGGCGGGTGGAGGTGGTGGGGGTGGTGTGTATGTGTGTGTGTGTGTGTGTGTGTGTGTGTGTGTGTATGTGTCTGTATGTGTCTGTCATTAACTCCACTGTGTGGAATCTCCAAGTGTCTCTGATACAAGTCCCCTTCCTCCAGGGTATGTACATCTTTCTACATACAGTAAAGGGAACACCCTTTGAGACACCTGACCAGGGTAAGGCACGGTTGCTCACTCACTGGGAACAGATGGACTATGGTGTACAGTTCACGGCCTCCCGAAAGTTCCTGACCATCACACCGATTGTGCTGTGAGTGCCCAGGGTGTGGGGTTGGTGCTTAAATGTTATCAGGGTAGCTCTTCTGAATAGAATGATGATATAGGCTCTTTAGGATCTGGCATGACATAGTTCCTTTTCCCTCCTGCTGTTTTAGCTCTGTAATAGACCTTGGGAGAGAGAGGTAGGGAGCCTTTTTTTGAAAGATCTGAGGGGACAGAGTCTCCCCCCTGGAGTAGGGTGCTTTTATTTTCTTTGCCTTGACCATTAACCTCTTGTGAGATTGACTCATGGGCCAAGAGGAGGTAAGAAGATGATGAATAGAAGGGACAGTGTACCTTGAGGGGCCCCCAGTAACCACCAGGGATTTTGGGGCCTTCCCCTCCATCCTCACTAACAATTCAGAAATCCAGTCACCTTTTGTTCACCTTCTTTCCTCTCAGGGAGCGAGGGACACTCTCATGTCAGGACCTTATACCTTTCATTCTTTTTCCCAATCAGGTATTTCCTAACCAGCTTCTATACCAAGTACGACCAGCTCCACTTCATCCTCAACACAGTGTCTCTGATGAGTGTGCTGATCCCCAAGCTGCCTCAGCTCCATGGCGTCCGGATTTTTGGGATTAATAAGTACTGAGGGCCCAGCCCCCTCCTTGCCCTGCCCTAGGGGAATCTGAGGAGATGAAGATGAAGGGGGCCTCCATGCAGGTGCCCAGAGACTGGTGTTGAGCCTGTGGGCCTAGTTAAAGCTGTCCCTTCCCCCTATTCCCCCCACCCCTCCCCCCAGTAGTCAAAATGGAGTAGCCTTTAGTGGGGTTAGAGAGGGGGATTCTCCCCTGTTCCCCCCTCCCCTCTCAGTGGCTTTGTGCCCTTTTTGATTTTTTCCCATTTGGATAGAGAATAAATGTGGGAGGGGTTGTGTGGTACTTAAGTGGGCCCAGCTACTTGGGCTGAGGAGGCACAGAGGATGTTGGGAAACCCCATGCATTCACTGTAACTCTGGCCAATGCACTTTAACCCCCTCCCCGGGCAGGGGGGCAGAGGAAATGGTACAGCCTCTAGATCATATTTCACTTTAATTCTCTTGGTTGACAGAGAGAGAGAGAGAAAGTATGTGTGTGTGTGTGTGTGTGTGTGTGTGTGTGTGTGTGTGTGTGTGTGAGTATGAGTGTGAGTGTGAGGAGAAAGAGAGAGAAACATGTGTGAGTCTATGCATGCAATTCTACCTTTCAGGGCAGAACATTGTCTGTCTATCCACCCAGTCAAGTCCATTAGGTACACAAAAGATCAAGGAAAAAGTGTTTAAGCACTTGGGAGTGGGGAAGGTACTGTGAGTGGGTAAGGAATCAGGGGTAGCTTAGTCCCCAAGGTAGGAAGAACCTAAGGCTCTGACTTAGCCTGGGGTGGGACTGGGAGGGCAGCTGGAAGAGGTCGGGACAGTGAGTAGTGAGTTTGTGATGCTGGAAAGGAGCAAAAAGCAGAAAGGAGAGTTACAAATGGAGGCTCCTTTTCTTGGTTCTTGAGCCACTTTCAAGGGGAGGAGACAGAGAACTCATCTTCTGAATGTGGGGTGGCGAGGTGAAGGGACAAGGTTGAGCCTGTCACCTTTGTTAGTATCTCAGCTTTGGGCTATAGTGTTGAGGCAGAGGAATATGAGTCCTCAAGGGACTGGTGTTGTCACCTACCGATGAGGGCTGTGGAGGGTGGTGAGCACAGAGCCCACTCTGCACTGGCTTTAGGAGAGGGGCAGGTAGTGTAGCCTCTGGTTGGGTAGTAGAAGAGTGTCCTTGTCCCCCCTGCACACCGCCCTCCCCTCCCCATCAGCCTGCCTTTCTTCATCTCCCTCCTAGTACCACTTAGCTGGAGACCAGGTCCTTTTGGGCATGCAGCATAGGTTGCAAGGATGGGTGGGTATTTTGTTAGTGTCGGTTGATTTGCCCCTTATTTTTCCTGCTCTTGAGGCATCTGTCATTTGGAGCTGGCACTATTCAAGTAGACGTGGCCCACTGCCCCCGAGCTTCTCTTCCTGGTAGCTAGCCACTGAGAGGAGGAAAGAAGTGGGGCTCAGGGGGGAATTGAGGAGTTTTACTTTGGAGAAAGAGGAGATGCAAGAGAGAGAACATGTGTGTGTCTGCACACATGTGCACGTGTATGCTTGTGTACAAGATCCTGTGTGTTCTGAGACACCTTCTGCTCCTTCCCCAAAGTGCGAGGGAAGAGGGGTGATCACTACGCCTTGTTCTCTGCCTCTTGTGCCACCTCCCTCACAACCGCCATCCCATGTATTATAGGGAACTTTCAATTCAGAACCTTTCTAAGACAGTATGAATAGGATTTTTACTCCCTCTTTGTACAGTATTCTGAAAGAAGCAAATAAAAGGCAGTGTGTTCCTGTCCTCTCCTTGCTTGGTCTTTGTATCCTATCAGTGGGTGTTTGATGTTCAGGGTGGGAATAAATGGGGCATGGGCCAAGTCTTACCTAATTTTTGTAACCTCCCCACCACCTAGCACACTGCACAGCACAGACCTTCCATGGCCAGGGATTGTTTATTCTCTCAGCTGCCTCCATCCTAGGCAGTGCCACGACCAGCCACTGTGGCGCTCCCCTCAAAGGCAAACCGGGGAACTCACTGTGGGCAGGATTGGGCTTTCTAATCCCAGAATTCTCAGTTAACTGCCAGGTGGTTATCTGTCTGTCTCTCCTGGCCCCACTCCATTAGAAAACTTAGTCAAGGGATCACCTTTTGGTGAGGTGGAGGCAGAATTGGATGACCTGAAATACGGAGACCATGCCCTTCTCCACAATCCAAACTCCAATTTCCACCCCACTGTGACAGCTCTCTCCATAAGCAGCATGTAGCTGACAACAAAAGAAGTGTAACTTGTTACTTCTAGAGGTTGATGTGGGGAGTCGGTGGGAATGAGTGATCAACAATTCAATGCAATCTGCCCTTTGCCTGGTTTGCTCTTGGCCCAATGGATTTTCCAGCCCCACTGCAAGGTCATTGTCCCCCTCAGCTCCCTTTACCTTGTATCTACACCACAATGGCCTGGAGGAGGGCCAATGTGACTATGAGGAGGACTAGTCCAAGACCAGGGCTATTTGACTAGGTCTCTGGAAGGTCCATGCTACTAGAGATCTCCACACTTCCACATAATGTCTGGCCCCTGCCTGTGGGGTTGGGCTTTCCTTTGTTCATGGCAGTGTTATCCTACCCCCAAACCTCTTCTGGGTTCCTTTGCCCCCTTCCCTCTGTCCCCTCTCCTTTTTCTTGCTTTCTTTCTCTTCCAGGGGGCTTGTCTTCCATCATCCTCTTATTCCCCTTTCCTAGCCCATCCAGCATCATTGCAATTGTGGTGATGTCTCTCCTCCTTCTACCTTGGTCTCCTCCTGACCTCTATGAGTCATCTGTCACTCCAGCCATGAGATTTCACTGCTTAAGCTACCCCATTTTACCCTGTTTCTCTTCCACCTTAGTCCAAATGGACCAGGACATCCTGCCCTGCTTCCTGAGATTGAGAAAAAGGGGCCAGTAACGCCCTTCAGATTCTCATCCCCTTGAGTTGTGTGTGTGGTGGGTGAGGGTTTGAATAATTTTCTGAATTTGACAAACATCAAGAAACATGAACATTTCCATACACAAAGAACAGAAAAAAAAAGATTACATTTGAAATCAAACCTATTATAGCTTGCATTTTTTTTAAAAAAGCTTGTATATATGTATGTATTTGTATGTTTGTATAAAGTTCAACATTTTAGTTTCAGAACTGTCTTCCTTATCTTTTCTCCTGAACCTCCTGTTTTCTTTTGTGCCTTTAAAAACTGCTTCAGTAAGCTTCTTTTCTTCCTTATTTTGGCATCACTATTAATAGTTCCACTCTTCCTCTCTCTTCCTTTAAAAACAACATATAATCCTTGTGTAACAAATAATCATAGTTAAGCAAAACAGGTTCACGTATTGGTCGTGTCCAAAAATTTATGTTTCAATCTACTTCAGTCTCCTATCTCTCCAGTCATGTGCTACCAGTTACTAGGTAGTGTACTCTGTTCATCAGACCTCTGGAGCCATTGTTTTGGCCCCAATTTTCAGATCTTTGAGATCTGCTTTTCTCTACAGTGTCATAGTTATGGTAGAAATTGTTCTTCTGGTTCTGCTCACTTCACTTTGCATTAGAGAATAGAAATCTCCCAAGGTTTCTTCTCTGAATTCATCCCTTTGTAATTCCGTAACATGCAATAATCCATAACATTAACTATCATTTATTCATCCATTTCCCAATTAATGGACACCCATTTTGTACCAAATTCCACAAATGAGTCATTTGTATTTTATAGCAACAAATGCTGCCATAAATATTTTTGGAATCCATGTCCGTTATCTCCTTTTTTAAAAAATCTCTTTAATATATAAACCTAATAGTGGCCATTTGAGTTAGAGGCTGAGATGCAGCCTGGGTCCCTGCCCAGGTTGCTTTTGCCCATATCCAACTGTTGTTTAAATTTTTTTTTTTAAATCATAAACTGAATAAAAAGCTATATACAAAAAAAAGGAATAAGGTCATCATAAAACCACGAACTTACTGTCTTGTGCATTTTAACAAAGGAACAAATTAACAGCCAATGAACACTATAGTTACTTTTGTCCTCATCCCCACCACCTGAAGCTCCCTTACCTAAGACTTAGTTTTTTCTATTTATTCTGGTTCGGTGTCACTTTGACTAGTCCTTTTCATATGTTTTGTTCTTCATATTTATCATCAGCCATTTTCCATTATATGGACACACTGATTGTTTCCATTTTTTTCCCTACCATCACAAATAAAACAACAAAATTTCCAAATGTATTGCCAATAAAAATAACCAAATGAATCTGTTTTACGTAGGTTCTTTTTTCATCTTCATGCTATGTTTAGGATAAGCCAACTAAATGCCTTTCTGCCCCACCCAACAACTAGAGGAGGAGCCTCATTTAGTCAGCCTGTAACTTTGGGGAAGTTTTATTTTCCTTTCTGGGCTTCTTTGAGACAGTGTGGCCAGGATCCGTGCTAGACCTCTCAGAGTAAACAGATTTCTGGAGCGCTGCAGTTGCTGAGTAGCGGCCACTGGTAAGCTCTTGAGGTACGGTGGGATTCAGGGAGGGAATGTCAGTGAGTTCAGGAACTGACCATCTAGTGCCCTCACTAGGGGCTGTTAAAATGATTCCTGGTGTCCTTGGAGTTAGGGAGACATCCTGGTGATTCTTGGAAATTTGACTGCAGCAGATAGAAGTTGGAAGGGAGATGTTGGAAGCGACTTCTGGGATAGCTCACAGGAATGGAGATGAGGATGCACAGGAAAAGCCATCCATGCAGGGTTCCAATAACCGGGAGAAGGAAGTGACTAATAACAAAAATGGCAAACATTTTTACAGCACTTCACATGGTTTATAGATAAGGAAGCCCAGAAAAGTTAAGTGATTTGCCCATGGTCACAACTGCTAAGTATCTGAGGGAAATTTCAAACCCAAGTCTCTTCTGACTCCAAATTCCAGCCCTCTCCCCCACACATCTCTCATTGAATCATAGCCACTGGGAGGATGTTGCGTGTGTTGGAGGGTGGCCCAGAGGAAATAGGATTTGGGGAATTAGAAGAGTCCTGAGTCATGGAGGGCAGCAGAGGAATCAAGGGTAGACTTTCTGAATGGAGGGAAGGAGTCCAAGAAAGGGAAGGAATGCTGAATCCTCCAAATCGCTATCCTAGAGAGCTGCACGGACTGGGATGGCTGGGAGGGGCAGCCTTCATTCTGAAAAGTCTATTTTATAATTGGCCAAGGGGACATTTCTGAAACTTTGGGGGCTCTGTTTGTAAACCTTTTTAGGGATAGAAAAAGAGATCTGCTCCATTTCCAGCTCCTAGCTTTTTTTTTTCTTTTTGGCTTTTTGCTGAAGCAATCAGGGTTAAGTGACTTGCCCAGGGTCACACAGCTAGTAAGTGTCAAGTGTTTGAGGCTGGATTTGAACTCAAGTCCTCCTGACTGTAAGGCCAGAGCTCTATCCACTGTGCCATCTAGCTGCCCCTCTTTTTTTTTTTTTTTGCCATCCTTTCTCTTTTACTTTCTTTTAAGGAATTACCTTTTTTATCATCTTGGCAGTAATGGATGTCCAAAGGTTAGTCAAACATTCCATGGGGCCCTGTAATCCAACTTGGGAAGGGGAGAAGAATTAGTATTTATATAGGGCCTACCACCCTGCCAGGCACAATCCTAAGTGCTTTACAATATTATCTCATCTGATCCTCACAATGAGGATGGTTGAGTACTGTTGGCACTATGAGGTTGGTACTGTTATGATCCTCATCTTACAGTTGAGGAAACAGGCAAACAGGTGAAGTGATTTACCAAGGGTCACACAGCTAGTAAGTGCTGAGGCTGAATTTAAACAGGTCTTTCTGACCCCAGGCCCAGCACTCCTAGCTGCGTAGGAGCATTTTTTTTGTGGCAGTGCGGTTGCCCTGAAGCTGGTCTCCACCAATACCCTTGCTTTTCCCCAACAGTTGCCTCACAGACAATGTCTTCCATATTTGAGATAGTCACTAGAAATGTGGTTCATGAACTAAACCGGAAGGGAGACCTAATTCCCCTTGACAGCCTCATTGACTCGGACAGATTCCACTGTTGATCTCTCTTGTGCAAAAGAAAGTGCTTCCTCCCTTTCTTTAAACCTCGGTACTTAAAGACGGGGCTTACTGTGGATGACCTTCTGGAGGCCTCTGATGAACTGGATTGTGTTTCCACAGGTCAGTATGACATGGGTGACAAGGAAAGGGGATGGGATGCTGAGACCAATCATCTGAGCTGACAGTTGTATGCCAGGCAAAGGTTTAAGACGAAAGTGAGACAGTCCCTACTTGCCAAGGATGTCACTTTCTACTGGGGGATGCAACATGTAAATATAAATATATACAAAACACACCCAAAGTGAATACTTAGGGAGAAATGGCACTAGTAAGAGGATCAGGAAAGGCCTGGAAAAGACTCACTTGAGATGAGTCTTAAAGGAAACCAGGGATTCTGAGAGGCAAAGGTGAAGAGGGGGTGCATTCCAGGTGTGGGAAATAGCCAGTGAAGAGGCATGGAGATGGGATCTGTTGAAGAGAGATAGAGGAGAGTGGTCATGGGCCAAGAATTACCATGGCAGGATATATATATTTGCATATTTTATTAATTTATTTTGATTTATCAACAATCACTTCCATATGCTTTTGAGTTGAAAATTTTTCTCCCCCTCCCTCCCCACCTCCCTCCCCAAAACGGTGCACAATCTGATACAGGTTATACATTTACATTCCTATTAAACATATTTTCACGTTAGTGAAGTTGTAAGTAAAATTTAAACTAATAGGAGGAACCCTCAGAAAGAGGAAACAAAACTCAACAGAAGAGGAAAAAAAAAGATAGCGATTCAACTTTCACAGTTATGATTACTGTCTTTTTCACCATCCTTTTTTCACCCATTTATGCTTCTCTTTCTCCTCTCTCCCTTCCCCCCCTCACCAGTACTTTGCTTTTGATCACCACCTCCTTCAGTCTCTCCTCCCTTCTATTTTCCCCTTCCCCCTCTTCCCCTTCGCCCCCACTGCTTCTTCCCTCCCTTCCATCCCCCCTCCCTTTTCTTTCCCCTTTTCCCTCCTACTGCTCACAGGGCAAGTTAGATTTCCATACCTAACTGATTATGTTATTCCCTTCTTGAGCCAAATCTGATGAGAGCAAGGTTCAAACAAAGCTCACCCCCCTCCCTTCTTTCCCTCTGCTGTAATAGGATTTTCTGTCTTTTCCTGTAATGTGATTTACCCTTGTCTGCCTCCTCCTTTCTCAGTACATTTTCTAAGATCAGACTAATCTACTTACTTGGATCCATTTAACCCACTTGATTAGATTTTTTTTTTATCATTACATCAAAGTCAACTAATATCCACCCCCTTTATGTATACTCCTTTAACATGGTGTAATAACAATACAATTCTCAAGAGTTGCAAGTGTCATCTTCCCTTGTAGGGATGTAAACAGTCCACCCTTATTAACAACATTTTGTATCTTTCTGTCCCATTTACCTTTTAATGTCTTTCTTGAATCTTGGACTTGAAGATCAATTTTTTTGTTGAGCTCTAGTCTTTTTATGAGGAAGGTTTATTTCGTTGAATATCCATCTTCTCCCTTGAAAAATCATGCTCATTTTTGCAGGGTAGTTGATCTGCAATCCAAGCTCCTTTGCCTTATGGAATATCATGTTCCATGCCCTGTGGTCTTTTAATGTAGAAGCTGCAAGGTCCTGTGTAATCCTGACTGTGGTTCCATGATATTTAAATTGTTTCTTTCTGGCTGCTTGCAGCACCTTCTCTTTCATCTGGTAATTTTGGAATTTTGCTATTATATTCCTTGGTGTTGTCAATTTGGGATCTCTTTCAGGTGGTGAGCGGTGTATTCTTTCTATGGTTATTTTACCTTCTGGTTCTAGGACTTCAGGGCAGTTTTCCTTTATGATTTCCTGAAAGATACTGTCCAGGCTCTTTTTTTCATCATGATTTTCAGGTAGTCCAATGATTTTTAAATTGTCTCTCCTGGATTGATTTTCCAGGTCGGTTGTTTTACCGATGAGGTATTTTAAGTTTTCATCCATTTTTTCATTTTTTTGTTTCTGTTTGATTCTTGCTCTCTCATAGAGTCATTAGTTTCCATTTGTCCAATTCTAGTTTTTAACAGATTGTTTTCTTCTGTTAGTTTTTGTACTTCCTTCTTCAATTGGCCAATTGTATTTTTAAGGGATTTGTTTTCTTCAGTGTACTTTTTTTCCAATTGGCCAATTGTATTTTTTAAGGACTCTTCTACCTCTCTCATTAGACTTTTAAAATCCTTCTTGAGCTCTTCTAAGAAGGCTTTTTGGGCTTCAGACCAGTTCATGTTCCCTTTTGATGTTGCAGACGTGGGTTTATTGACAATATTGGCCCCTTCAGAATTTCTGTCTTGATCTTCACTCTTCTCATAATATGAATCTATGGTACGTTTCTTTTTACTCATGGTTTCTTTATTCCCTGGCCTTTAAAGATATTGAGCTCTCCTGCTGGGGAACAGAGGGCACTGACCCAAGCTTCTTGTGTTGGGAGCCTAGGTCTTGGTCACTGGCTTTGTGTGCTGGGGCCTCTTATGTTGGCAATTGGAGGCTGTAGGGTTTTGGCAGCTTACCTTATGTTGGGCTGGAATCAGCAAGGCTGGAACTTTCAGGCAATTCTAGGTTGCCTGCTTTTCCTTTCCTTTAGTTTTCTTCAACTCCTTTAGCTCTCTTTTAGATGGGTGCTGCAGGGTGTTTATCTGCCTGGGGCCCCTTGCAGTGCTGTCTCCCTCATTTCTGCTAATGCACTGGGAGATTTCTTTGCAGTGGAGTGCCGAGGCACCTGGTGTTTTTCTGAGCTGGTTTCCACCATTTCCCCCACCCTCACTGAGGCACTCTGAGGTCCAGGTGTTGGTGTTTGCTGCTTTGCCACCTGGGCTTCAAGATCTCTTCCTGGTTGACAGTTGGAGGTTCTGACAGCTTACCTAGTGTTAGGCTGGAATCAGCAAGTCTTGGACTTTAGAAAGACTTTAGGTTGCTTTCTTCAGCTCTTTTCAGATGAATGCTGTAGGGTGCTTATCCACCTGGGGCCTTTGTAGTGCTGCTTCCCTTATTTGTGCTGAGGCACTGGGAGACCCATTTGGTGGGCTGCTGTACTGCTGCTCCCCGTCTTTCTTCTAGTTCAGGTGTTCCAGGGTTTTTTTCTGGGGTGATATTTTCTGGGTTTTCAGAGGTTGATAGGGGAGAGTGAGAGTGACTACCTTTTTATTCCGCCATCTTGGCTCCCAGAAGCAGAAGCAGGATATATTTTTGATATGAGAAAAATCAATATATGAAAACCTAAGTTAATCCCCTAAACTGACCTGGAAATAATAATAATAGCCAACATTTCTATGGCACCTACCTTGTGCCAGGCACTGTGCTAATAAGCCCTTCACAATTACTATCTCACTTGATCCTCACAACAATCGTGGGAAGTAGGTGCTATTAAAAAAGTACTTTTTTTTTTTTTGGTGAGGCAAATGTCTGAGGTCACATTTGAACACAGGTCCTCCTGACTCAAGAGCTACTGTGCCACCTAGCTGCCCCAAAAAAGGTACTTTTAGAAAAAGATGTGAATTCCATCTGTACCTAAGAATTAACACTTGAACAGCCCCAACATGTGACCATGTAGCCTCTACTTGGAGATCTCTAGTGAGGACAGACTCATGATTTCTGCTGATGACCTGTTCCACATGAGGACAGCTCCAATTGTTTGAAAGCTTTTCCTTGTAGTGAACCCAAGTCTGCCTCTGCAACATGTACCCAATTTGTGGTTCTGCCCTTTGGGACCAAGCAGGATGAGGCTTCTCCCTCCTTCATAAGACTAGGCTTCAAATACCCAAAAACTGTCATATTTTCCCTTCCAGCCAAATTTTCTCTGGGCAAAACTTTCCCCAAGTTTCTTCAAATGATCTTCATATGAAATAAAATTTCTAGTCTTTTCCCCTTCCTGATCATATTTCCTAGGCACAACCCAGTTTATCAATATCTTTTCTAAAATGGGATGACATGGACTGAATCCAACATGTCTGACTAGGATAGGGTACAGCTAAGCTATTTTGGACCCCGTGCCTTTTTTTAATGGGGGCTAAGATTGCATCTATTTTTGAGGGGCTGCTGTGTCATGCTGTTGACTCCTACTCAGCTGAGCCAATAGTCCACTGAGATGCCCAGATTGTTTTCATGGAAACTTGTCTGTCTGTCTTCCTTCCTTCCTTCCTTCCTTCCTTCCTTCCTTCCTTCCTTCCTTCCTTCCTTCCTTCCTTCCTTCCTTCCTTCCTTCCTTCCTTCCTTCCTTTCTTTCTTTCTTTCTTTCTTTCTTTCTTCCTTCCTTCCTTTCTCTCTCTCTCTTTCTTTCTTTTTTTCTTTCTTTCTCTTTTTCTTTGATTTTCCCAGTTAGAACCTGGTCTGTTGAGTTTTCTTTTTAATTTTTCCAATTATTTATTTATTTATTTTAACATAATATTTTTCCTTTTTAAATTTTGAGTTCCAAATTCTCTCCCTCCCATCCCTTCCTCCATCCAAGCATTATGGCAAACAATATGATATCCATTATACATGGAAAATCATGTAAAACATATTTCCATATTAGCCATTTTTTAAAGCAAGGAAAAAACAAATTGAGAAAATTATACATCAATTTGTACTCAGAGTTCATCAGTTCTTTTTATGAATATGAATAGCAATTGTTCATCGTGAGTCCTTTGGAATTGTCTTGGATCATTGTATTGAGAATAGTTAAGTCTTTCAGAGTTGATCATTGCTATTACTGTGCACAATCATCTTCCGGTCCTTCTCACTTCACTTTGCCTCAGTTCATATAAGTCTTGCCATGGTTTTCTGAAACCACCTCCATCATCATTTCTTATAGTGCAATAGTATTCCATCACAATAATATGCCACAACTTGTTCAGCCATTCTCCAATTGATTGGCTTCCCCTCAATTTCTAATTCTCTGCCACCATAAATATTTTTGCACATATAGGTCCTTTTCTTTTTTCTTTGATCTCTTTGGGATCAAAGTAATGGTATTGCTGGATCAAAGGGTATGTAGTCAGACCAACCTTTCCAGCCTCATTTAACATCATCCCCCTTCACACACTCTATCTTTTAGCCAAGCTGGACTGCCAGCTGGTTCATCAAATTTAAAAAGTATTCTTCCTCTCCATGCCTGGAATTCACTCCTTCCTCATCTCTGCCATTCAAATCCTTACCATACTTCTGTGCTCAGCTCAGAGGCCACTCATTTCCTTCTAGCCCATGGACTGATTCTCTGACTCTTTAGGTGCCCACATAGTTCCATCCCACTCCCACCCCCAACCACACCTGTGATTGAGTAAGAAGGGAACCTGGCAGTGAGCATCCTTGGGAAAGCAGGACTGTAGAAGAAATAGGCTGTTTCAACTGGTCCTTTCTGGAGAAAGGATAACAGCTATCTCTTGGTTCATCAGAAGCCTGTTATCTCTGCCTTCTCTTTCCTTTTCTCTCCAGAGGTGAAAGAGAAAAAGAATTATAGGATTGAGGACAATGTGGAAATGAAGATGAATATTACATTGAATGTACCCCAAGTCACATCTGTAAATGGAAAAGCTGAGTTCTCAACAGCGTGTAACCTCAAGTTAAAGTCCTGTGAGATCTCCCTGAAAGGGAAGGAGTCTTTGGTGAGGAAGGGAAGGGAGGGGAAAAGGGAGAGGTTGTTTTGGCTGGGAGGGTAGTCAGGAGTCTCTGCAGATTATACCCTGGCTGTCCATCCCCATTCTCCCTATAAGATCTGTACCCTACTTCTCCCATAGGGGAAGTGCTACAAAGAGCTACTTTGAGAATACAACAAATTTCACTGGGAATAACTACTCACTACATCTCAGGGGAGCCCTGACAGCCTGGGAGTATGAAACCTCCAGCTGGCAGGACAGCTGCAGGGTCTACAAAACCATCCCAGGGATTCAAACTGGAATTGGAAGAGGCTCTTGCTTCTTGGGAAAGGAATGGGAACCCCATTCCACTTTTCTTCTGTGCTGGCTCTCTCAGAGTGGGCCAGGCTGGTTCTAGATCATGCCCAACTCTGGAGTTGCTCCAGAAATGGCTTGGTTGGCCCCAAAGTTCTAGAAAATCTCAGGCGAAGGAGAGTCCTCAGATTGCCTTGTTCCTGTAACTAGACATCTGCCACCCTGGGCTCCTCTGCCTTCAGGATTAGCCTGGGCCTATAGGGAACTCTCAAAGGAGTCCTTGGCAAGCCCTTATGCCTCTTCCTTCTCAGAAGCTAAATTTGTTCCTAGGTAAGTGGTTTCCTAGGTAGTGGGGTGACACTAGTGAGTCAGGAGTTGCTCCGGAGGTGGAGCTCTCTCAACTCACACTCTGCCTGGTTGTCTCATTCTCTAGGAAGCTGAAGGAAGAGCAGCCTTCCCTATTTGAGGCATTAAAGAAAGCAGGAGAAAACCTGTATATGGTGATAGAAACTGTGGAGCTGGCAGAGGAACAAAAAGTGGAAAGAAAATATTTCACGGACACTTTGTTCGAATTCCTGATGGGGAAAATAAAGGTTAGAATCCTGGTGGAGGCGGGGGTAGGGGTGCGGGGGAAGACGACAGAGGGCTGAGACCTGTGGCATCCAGAGGCCTGCAATGCTCATCATGCCCTGCCCTCTATCTCTGCTCTGACCCTGTAGACATTCTCCAGCACTGCCTTCTCTGCCTCCCTTTTATCTTCACTTCTTGTCCTAGGGCCATATGAATGTCAACAGTGGGGTCACCATCCCTTCTGAGAGCGTCCTTGCCTTCAGAATAAACCTGCTGGTCTTTGATGAGAGGTGTTGTAGTAAGTAGAGGCTGTGGGAGGGGCGTTAGTGCTGTCTTATAGACTGCTCAAGGCGGAGAGATTTGGAGCGCAGGCCCGCCAAGTTACAGCTGGCGTGGGGATAAGATAGGAGGGGGATGGTGGGGAAAGAGAGACGGTGGGTCTTTAGGATTCTGGTTGTGATTCTGATCCAGACTCACCAGCGTTGTGCCCCACAGATTACTGGTGACCACTGTGGGAACTGCCCCAGTCCTTTCAATATAAAGCTACAGATGGCCCTTCTAGGGCTCTTTTGGGGAAGGAAGTGCTGAGGAAACAATCCCCTTCCAGTCTCCTATTTGGAGGCAGTTATAGGGGAGGAAGGTATACCATAGGCAGACCTGAGTTCAAATCCTACCCTAGATCCTTATTAGCCGTGTGATCCCAGGCAAATCATTTAACCTGGATGAGCCTTAGTTTCTTCATCGGCAAGATGAATCACAGGGTCATGATGTATGTTTGATTGCATGTTGTCTCCTCCATTAGATTATAAGCTTCTTGAGGGCAGGAGCTTGTCTTTTGCCTCTTTTTGTATACCGGGTGCTTAGCATGGTACCTGGCACATAGCAGGTGCTTAATAAGTGTTTATTGATTGATTGATCACAAAAATCAAGTATATCACAAATATGAACTATTCTTGTTTTCTGTCATTCTAGGAATTTCTTATTCTAATGATGAAAACTCCTTTCCTTTAGGTAAGTGCACCATTTGGACAGCTTCTCTCTACCTCTCTGTCCCCTTTCCTAGAAAGCCTAGATCAGGGGTGGGGAACCTTTGGCCTCGAGGCCACATGTGGTCCTCTAGGTCCTCAAGTGCAGCCCTTTGGCTGAATCCAAACTTCACAGAAAAGATTGTGAACAAATTTGTGAAGTTGGGATTCAGCCAAAAAACTGCACTTGAGGACCTAGAGGGCCACATGTAGCCTTGAGGCGGAAGGTCCCCCACCCCTGGCCTAGTCCCTTCCAAGTCTCTGACTCAGCTGAGCATTTCCAGGTTGGAGCAACCTCTGAATGGAGGGGGAATGAGATACACTTTGAGAGTACGTCTAGTCCTCCTCCCTAGGGCTGTCTCTGTCCCATCTGAGAACAGGAAGAAAGGCCCTGGGGCAAGTGGGCCCCAAATGAAGAAACAGGTTGAGTTGTAGTGGAAAGAACAGTCTAGGAGTCAAAAGCCCTAAGTTCAATCCCTTATCTGCCTTTTATTCAGCCGTATGACATTGGAGAAATTATTTCTTCCATCTGGGTCTAGGCTTCTATATTTTTAAAATGAAGGAGGTGAGATTAGCTGGTCCCTTTGATCTCTGTCAGTCTGTGATTCTGTGATGCCAAATTGGGGCAGAAGTAGATTAGTGACCACTCAGAATGTGACTCTCCTCTGCATGGGGGGAGTGCAAAAGGCCCCAGAGAAGCAGCCAAAGGCAGAGCCTGGTGGTAGGTCAGAAGGAGACCTTCATTTTTTAATTAGTCACAGGAAAAGGTTAGGCAGGCTGGTCAGTGCAAGCAGGAGAGAAGATGCAGGGAATCATGGTAGCCGTTTTGTGGAAAAGAGATTAACTTAGTCTGTGTGACTCCACGGGGCAGGACCAGGAGCTATGGTTGGGAGTTAGAAAGATGCCAAAATAGGCTTCATATTAGGGAAAAACAAAACAACTTCCTAACAATTAGAGCCATCCCAAAGTGGAATGGGCTGCCTTGTGAGGTGGTGAGTTTCTTCTCATTGGAGGTCTTCAGGCAGACACTGGATGAACAGACCTATCTTTTTTGATATAGTGGGGATGGATTCCTTTCAGGGATGGGTTGGCCTAGACCAGGGGTGGGGAACCTGTGGCCTCAAGGCCCCATGTGGCCCTCTAGCTCCTGAAGGGTGGTCCTTTGACTGAACAAACTTTACAGAACAAGTCCCCTTAATAAAAGGATTTATTCTGTAAAACTTGGATTCAGTCAAGAGGCTGCACCCGAGGACCTACAAGGCCATGTGTTCCTGAAGCTGCAGGTTTCTCCCCCCCTCTCTCCAGTAGAAAGAAGCTGAACAACTCTCAAAAATTCTGACTCCATCACGGAGGGGATGATAAGACTTGGCCAATACTACACAACAACGAAATACAATAAAGCTCCTATGCACGAGGGCTGAGGTGGAGACAGTTTAGTCCCTACTGTTATATCTTACCCACTGTGAGCATTATTCTTTTTTGTTACAGAAAGTGGTAGTGCCTCCAGATCAGGTAAGAACTGAGTCTACCAGCTACTGAAGGAAGTTGGGCTTCAGACCCCAAAAGGGCCATCAGCGACTCCTGCAATCCAGGGGTGGGGCAGGAAGACTGAGACCAATACCCCACCCATATGCCCTGGGGTGGTTCTCCTCGGAGACCCCAACTCCAAGGAGAGTGAGATTGGCCCCTTCCTTGGCTCTCAAAACTGAGAGGGTCAGAGCTTTCTCACTCCTCCCCTAAAGTACTCAGCCCAACGGGCTGGGATAGGGGGCCCAGTGGGTTACAGCCCCATTAGAATGAAGTGTTGGGTTGACAGCAGGAACAGAAACTGTCAAGGCTCTGAGCTTGCCCCAAAGGGGAGGATGGAGCTCTTGATGGCCTGGATTCCTGGCAGGAGGAGATGAGTTGGGGGAGGCAGCATGGTGGTGTGCTGGGGTTCTTAACCTTTGTTGTATCATGGACCAGTCTGGCGGAGCTTATGGATTCCTCAGAATGATTTTTCAAAATGTATTAAATAATATGAATAGCATTGCAAAGGAAATCAATTATATAGCACAATTCAATGATCAAAATATTTTTAAAAATCAAAAAAGTTCACAGACTCCAAGTTAAGAACCTGTGGTACTTGTGTCCCGGTTAGGGTGCTCAACTTGGAGTCAGGAAGACCTAGATTCAAATCTTGCCTCAGACCAACTTGGTGTGTGTCTCCAGGCAGGTTGCTTAACCTCTCTGGGCCTCTGTGTTGTTATCTATAAAATGAGGGGATGGGCTCAGTCTCTCAGGCCCCTTCAGGCTCTGAATCTATGATCCAATGATAAGTCAAGCAATCAAAGGGCTGAAGAGATGAATCTTCTGGCTAGGGCCCCAAGAAGAAAGTGGTCTTAGGAAAGGGGCAGGCAGGCTGGCCAGTGCCAGCTGTTCCTCAGCCCTTTTTCTTTTCTTTCTTTCTTTTTTCTTTTTTAAAAATGTCTACAGTAACTTTTTATTAATTTTTTATTAATTTATTTTGATTTATCAACAATCACTTCCATGTGCTTTTGAGTTTAAAATTTTTCTCCCCCTTCCTCCCCACCACTCTCCCCAAGACAGCACACAATCTGATATAGGCTATACATTTACACTCGTATTAAACATATTTTCACATTAGTGATGTTGTAAGTAAGAATTAGAACCAATAGGAGGAACCACCAGAAAGAGGAAACAAAACTCAACGGAAGAGAGAAAAAGATAGCAATTCAACTTCCATAGTTCTTTCTTTGGACATGGATAGCATTTTCCATCGCGAGGCCTCTGGAGATGTCTTAGATCCTTGTACTGCTGGGAAGGGTTAAGTTTATCAATATTAGTCATCGTACAGTGTGGCTGTTATTGTGTACAAAGTTCTCTTGGTTCTGCTCACGTCACTCAGCATCAGACCATACAAGTCTTCCCAGGTTTTTCTGAAGTCAGCCTGTTCATCATTTCTTATAGCATAATAGTATTCCATTCCATTCATATATCACAACTTCCTCATCCATTCCCCAATTGATAGACATCCTGTCAATTTCCAATTCTTTGCCACCACAAAAAGAGCTGCTATGAATATTTTTGTACATGTGGGTCCTTTTCCCATTTGTATGATCTCTTTGGGCTGTAGCCCTGGAAGTGCTATTGCTGGGTCAAAGGGTATGCACATTTTTATAGCTCTTTGTCAACTCAGCCCTTTTTCTCTGAATTCAGGAGGGCAGACTGAGGAACCCTCTCAGCTCCTAGAGAACTTTAGTGATCTGCAGGAGAATGTGAAGGACATGAATTGGGAGCTTCAAGACCTGACAGAAACGGAGCGGAAGGATGTACTGGCCGCGCTTATAAGTCATCTGCGGGATGGGGCACTGGGGGAAGTGGAGGAAAAGGTGAGAGGCCAGCTTGGCTAGAGAGGAGGGGGTGAGCAGCAGGGCATGTGGGCAATCCGCGGGGAGAATTTCAAAGAGCTGTTTTGTGGAGCATTTGAGAGGATCACGGAGGTATACCTTCGCTTCCTCTCATCCTTCTCTTGGCTGCTAGGTAAACATGACCCTTCTCACAGAAGAGCTAAGTGACCCTGAGGTCCCTCTCCTGAGCATCCTGTTTAATGATTGTGGGAGCTTCATGCCAAAAAGGGCTGATGCCATACTGTACTTCCTTGAGGCACTGACAGGTGAGAAAAGGGTTGGGATGGTATCCTGGGGCAGTGGCTGGGTGGGGAGTCAGGCCAGCATTTATTTGGGGACAATTAAATGGAGCTGATTGCTTCTCCCACTGCATCATTTCATAGAGGTGAAAGGTGCCACTTCTGTTGTCCCCTTTTGGCCTCCTAGAGGCTGATACTGCTGCCCTCCCACCCCAGCCTAGGCACCTTAGTGGTACATTTGGTAGAGCTCTGGGCCTGCAGTCAGGAAGACCTGAGTCTGAGTCCTGCCTCTGACACTTACTGTTTGGGTGATCCTGGATAAATCAATTAACCTCTCTCAGGCTCAGTTTCCTCATTTATAAAATGGGGATAATAATAGCCTTTACCTTATAGGATTGTTGTAAGGATCGAATCGCAAACCCTAAAGTGCTATATATGTTGTTTCAGTCGTGTCTAACTCTTGGTGATGCCATTTGGGGTTTTCTTGGCAAAGATATGCTAGTGATTTGTCATTTCCTTCTCCAGCTCATTTTACAGATGAGGAAACTGAGGCCAACAGGGTCAAGTGACTTGCCCAGGGTCTCACAGCTACAAAGTGTCTGAGGCCAGGTTTGAATTCAAGAAGATGAGTCTTCCTGGATTCCAAGCTCTGTACTCTATCTGCTGTGCCACATAGCTGCCCCTAAAGTGTTATGTAAATGCTACCTATTGTTATTATCCCAGCTGGATGACCCTATCTAGCATTTCCGGGTGCCCCTCAAGAGTTTCCTTATGTTGCTTCCCAGCCTGTAACCTAATCTGGGAAGCAAGACCCACACCCTTTTCTTCTTCATCCACCTCTGCTCTCTGTGCATAGAACTAAAAGAGTTGCAACAGAAACTGCTGGCCGTGGCTGTGGAGGAGGGACATTTGTCTGAGCTGATGAAATTGGTGAGAAAGTCTGGGCCTCCTTGGGAAAGAGCTCTGAGGCTGGGGAATGGGGAGGAGGGGTGTGGAAAAAGAGCTGCCACTGATTTTTCAAATGAAAAAGGGGCACCCCAGGTTGGTCAGAGGGAGACAGAACTCAGGACACAGCCCCTCCTGGCTGAGTCTGTCACTGGAGTGCATAGGTATGATGTAGATGGGATTCTTGTATGGGTACAGATGGGATTAGGGTCCTCTAGCATTGAGGGGACTGAAAAGATGCAGGAAAAGGGGGAAGGGGGAGATAGAGCTTGGTCTCAGTGTCTTTAAATGTGGTGGGCGTCACAGAATCTTCAAGTTGGAAATAACCTTAGAGTTGGTAATTTTTTTTTTTAACTAGGCAGTGGGGTTAAGTGACTTGCCCAGGGTCACACAGCTAGTTAGTGTTATGTGTCTGAGGCCAGATTTGAACTGAGATCCTCCTGACTCCAGGGCTGGTGCTCTATCCACTGTGCCACCTAGCTGCCCCCAGAGTTGGTCATCTTAGTCCAACTATTGCCTATATACACCATAAATACCTTTCTTCCAGGTGAAAGACATCCTACTGCAGACCTCCAAGAGTGGGCCAGCATCATTTTCTCTGAAGGCTGACTCAGTCACCCACACCCTTGTGAGAATGTGTGATACAGAATACAAGCTAGACCACAGTGTCACCTGGAACTCAGAGACATGTCATTCACTCTGTGCCCTCTATGTAGCCCTTTCTGTCCTGCTGCTATTAGCTCAAGGCCCCAGTTCTGTCCTCTGAATTTGTTTCCCAGGGCTGGGTAATTTAAATCTCAGATCAGCAGTTTGTTGATCAAAATAACTTCACATGATTTTCTTCCAAAGAAGAAAAGAAAATCACCAGAGACATGCAATATTCTATCTTATGTGCAGTAGACTGTAAGCTCCCTGAGGCTAAGGACTGTTTAATTTTTGCCTTTGTAACAAATCAGTTTCACAGAGTCTCAGAGTTGAAAGGGACTCCAGAGGTACCTAATCCAACCTGTGCCTGGAGGATATTAAATTGATTCTGTACCTTTGTTTATTGATACTATTTACAGTTAATCGATTTTGTCCTATGACGGCCCAAGTCATGGTTCCTTGTCTCTGAACTTAGTTCAGCAATTCAGCTGGCCTGTAATGAGTTAAGTTTAGAAATCCAGTTTTCCTACTAATCCCTTCTCTATTCTTGCCTCAAGGAAATCTGTGGTCCTTGAGGGATGCAGGTAGATAACCAAGGGGTTGGGTCTGCTATCTCTGATCCTGCAGTGGACTCAAACAATGAACATTTCTTAGTCACAAGAGTCCAGCTACTTCTCTGAGTTAGTTAAAAGAAAACTTGTTATCTTTTATAACTTCAGCTCCTGAAAAATTCTGTGATATTTGTTTGCTATCTTTGAAGGCCTACAAGCTGACCTGGTACATTTCCACAAGAGATATTATCTATCCTTGCCTGTCCTTGTACAGTTAACTCCCTCCTAGGAGCCAGGGCATCTGCTATCCCTGGTCCACTCTCAATGGTCTCAGGATGCAGATGGGTCCCATAAATCAATTAAGCATTCCTCTAAGACAGAGATGGATAGTTTCTAGCCCCATGTGAGCGTTAGCCCTCTCTTCTTAATATAACCAGCCATGTTGTCCTCGCTCTCATGATGCTGCTAACCCTCTAACTCACCTACCCGGTTCTGTTCTTTGTTCTATGCTTATATAAAGGAGCTGCACCTCTTTCTCAGGGTCATTGACGTCACTGACCCACTTCATCAACAGGTTCACACGTTGCTAATAAATTCATAAAGTTCAGAATTCTGTGCCTCAGTTTACCTTTGTTAAGTTCTGTTGAGAGAACCAGAACAAGAATCCTGTCTACGCTATATTCAGTGACCGCCTAGCTTTTGCTTAAAGACCTCCTGCAAGAGAGCACCCCTTAGGCAGGCATGAACAAGCATCTACTAAGTGCTTACTACATGCCAGGCACTCTGCTGAGCACTGGGGACACACTTACAAGCAAATACAACCCACAGGAGCTTATTAAGCACCGACTTTGTGTCAGAATTGTGCTATGGGTACAATGTCCAAAATGAAACAGTACCTGCCCTCAAGGAGTTTATGTTGGGGGGGGGGGAGGTGTGCTGTGGACAGAGAACATATTCGTGTATTGCACAACACTGCTAGTTAGTTGCCAGCAAAACACTGATGAGTCTGGATCAGAACCAAGACTAATATCTTAAAGATCTTCCTTCTTTCTCCCCCTCTTCCCAGTATGAAACATATATGCAAAATAAATGCAAGGTAATTTGGTGGGGAGGAGAAATGAGCAGCTGGAAGGAATAGGAAAGACCTTAGGTAGGTGGCAAAGCAAATTGAGCACTGGACCTGAAGTCAGGAAGACCTGACTTCAGATTTTGTCTCAAACACTAACTGCGTGACCCTGAGCTAGTCACTTAACCTCTGCCTCAGTTTCCCTCTCTGTAAAATGGGGATAACAATAGCACCTGTCTCCCAGAGTTGTTGTGAGGATCAAATGAGATAATATTTGGAAAGCTCTATGCAAACCTTAAGGTATTATATAAATGCTACCTGCTATTATTGTTGTTGTTGTTGTTGTTACTATTATTATTATTATTATTATTATTATTATTATTATTAAGGCAGTGACATTTGAGCTGAACTCTGAAGGAAAATAGGGACTGTAAAAGGCCTGTGAATAAGGGAGGAAAGACTTCAGTCCAGGCATGGGAGTTAGCTGGATATTTGCTCTAAATCACTGTTGTCTGGAGAAATGCAAATTGAAACAACTCTGAGGTACTTCCTCACACCTATCAGATTGGCTAACATGATAGAAAAGGAAAGTGACAAATGCTGGAGGGGATATGGAAAAATAGGGACACTGATGCATTGTTGATGGAGCTGTGAACTGATCCAGCCATTCTGGAGAACAATTTGGAACCGTGCCCAGAGGACTATAAAACTATGCTCACCCTTTGACCCAGCAATACCACTACTATGTCTGTATCCCAAAGAAATCAAAGAAAAAAGAAAAAGACTCATATGTACATAAATATTTATAGCAGCTCTTTTTGTTGTGGCAAAGAACTGGAAACTGAGGGGATGTCCATCCTTTGGGGAATGGCTGTGGTATATGATTGGGATGGAATACTACTGTGCTGTAAGAAATGATGAGAGGGATGAGTTCAGAAAAACCTGGGGAGATTTGTATGAACTGATGCAAAGTGAGGTGAGCAGAACCAGGAGAACACTGTACACAGTAACAGCAATATTATAATGATGATTAACTGTGACAGATTTAGCTACTCTGATCAATACAATGATCCACAACAGTTTCAAAGGATTCATGATGAAAAATGTATCCACCTCCAGAGAGAGAAATGATGGGCATTGAGTGCAGACTGAAACGTATGTTTTTTCTTTTTCTTTCCCAGCATAACTAATATGGAAATATGTTTTACCTGATTTCATATATATATATATATATATATGTATTGGGGATTGTACTTCTTGCTTTCTCAATGGTTGGGAGAGGGATTGGTGAAAGGGACAGAATTTGGAACTCAAAAACATTTTAAATAGTAATAAAAAATAAAATACAGCCTGCTTTTATAATCCCATGACAATCATTTCCACTGTGGCTGGAAGGCAAAGCACTTGACCTCTCCTTGATGTCCGTGGCAGCCTCTGTAAAATGACTGGCCAATCTCTCAGGGCCCTTCTAGATCTGATAATCTGTGATTCTGTGATTCTAATCTTTGTCTTTGTTATTCCCTACATAGCTTTCCTTCCAGTAGGATCCAAACTCCTCAAGAGTAGTTATTGTTTCATTTTTTGTCTATGTAGGGATTTTTTCTCCTAACTCAAGGCTTTGTCCATAGCAGTCACTTAATGTTTGTTGAATTGAATTGAATTGAATGTATTGCCCTTCACTGAAACGAGCCACTTGAACTGAATTTCTTTCCAGAGCACAAAGCGATTGGATTTTTCATCCAGTAGTAGAATGAAATTTCAAAGCTTCTCTGAATTTCCAGATTTCTTATACTATAGGCCACCATTCCTCTGTTTTCACCAGGACCAGGAGAAAAGAGAGTGAGGAATAAAATTAATAGGAGGAAATAGGAATATCTCACCACACTTTTTGGAGTGGTAAGAGTCTAGTTCATAGCACCTGGGTGGTGAACTGACAAGATGTCGAGATGAATGGGTATAATCAGTTCCTGCCACCAATGGAACTGATTTCCTTGTTTCTACTTTTATTCAGTGATACCTGCAAAGCAATACATCCTGTAGCCAATAGGTCCTAGTAAAAGTGACCCACAATTGTCTTTGCCCCATAATATCTTCTAGGTTAGTTTCTCAGGGTTCATATCTCTTAGGCCAACATATGGTACCATGCCCATGAAAAGAGAAGAAATGATAGTCTAATTATCTATTTTTCTTATTTGTGCATAAGGGAGAGTGGTCAGGAGATAATCTGATGAGTTCTTCAATCATCCTGAGAGATATCTCAAGGGCACTCTTTAGGGAGGTGGACATATGCATTGGCCCCTTGCCAAAAAAAATCACAGCATCTCTTTGATGGGCCACTTCTCTGTTTATGGTCCTATGCATAGAAGATGTGTTTACTTTTTGTTCTTCAGGACTCCCCCTTCTACTTGTGCCTTCTTCTGAAGTTCAACAAGCCATGGAGAAGGGGTTTTTCCCTTTCCCTCTTTTCTGAACAATAATGGTGACTTGCAGCAGAAAAAAACGTGGCATTGGTAGACATCTACTCTCCTGGCAGAGGACCTTCCCTCTTATTTTACTGAGAAAACTGAAGCTATTTGATGTGAGTTCCCTCCTCTTTTTCTTCATCTCAAAACCCCTCAACATCATCCCCCACTCTTTCCTGCTTTCCTCCAGTCTTCTCACCAAGGCTACTGCTCTACATGTGTGCTTGATCCCATCCCCTCCTGTCAATCATTGCCTCTCTCTTTCAAGTCTCCAACCTACCTGTTGTTTGGTTCCTTACTGCAGTCACACATGCAATTCCTTTCCTGGACTCTACCTTCTCTCAAAGTCCCAGTCACTCCAGAACTTCAGTTTCACGTCACCAGTTGCCTGTTGAACATTTCACAAAATATCCTAGACATAGCTCCAACTCAATATGTTCAAAATCCAACTCATCATCTTTTCCCAAAAACTATATTCTTTCTCAAACTTTACTATTTCTGTTGAAAGCACCACCATCTTTCTAATTCCCAGGTTTGTTACCTCAGCATCATCCTTGACTTCTTATTCCCCCCTGGATTCCACACATCCAAACAGTTGCCAAATCTTGCTATTTCTAGCTCCACAACATCTTTCATATCCAACCCCTTCTCTCTACCTTACTTACTAGCTGTCTGACCTGGGCAAGTCACTGAACTTCTATTTTCCTCAGTTTCTCATCCATTAAATGGGGACGTACAGAAGAAGGAAATGGCAAACCATTCCAGTATCTTTGCCGAGAAAAAAACCCATGGACAAAAGTCCATGGGGGTCACAGAGTTGGACACAAATGAATGACTCAACAACTATATCCATAAATATGCACATGCACACACACACATATACATATATATATATATATGTATATATATATATGAATGTAAGTGCTTGTTGCATTTCCCATTAGAATGCAAGCTTCTTGCAAGTAGGAATTGTTTCATCCATGGCATTTGTATCCCCAGAGCCTAGCACAATGCCTGGCACATAGTATGTGTTTAATAAATGCTTGTTGAGACACTTGACACTTACTAGCTGTGTGACCCTGGGCAAGTCACTTAACCCCAATTGCCTCGCCAAAAAAAAATGCTTGTTGATTGACTGATATGCTTGTGTTGAGAGGGGAAATTCAGGGATACTGTTCCTAAACCAACCTCCCAAGTAATGCTGAGGGGTGAGGAGGGGAAGGGAGAGATGGAAAATTCTCTAGGGAGCCGTGCTCCTGGGATCTAGTCTTCTAGCCAGAGAAAGGAAATTTCCTGGACAGTAGCTTCAGCAGCTTTAGGAAAAATCTCTGGGTAATTCCAAATTTAAGAGTTGAATTCAAGGATTCTGGCACCAGTCTCCAATAGGGAAAAGATCTCCCCAACTTTGTGCTCCTTGAAGAAATAAGAGGATAACCCCAAAACTGAAGGGCTAAAAGCTATCTCCCGGGGGAGGGGTGAGGCAAGAGATCTGGACGTTGCCAACCCTCGTTGCCATGGCTGTGAGTTTCTCAATCAGTGCAGGTCAGAGGTGAATGAGGAACTCTTGACCAGCAGCTCTTAAAATGTGCCACTCTGTGGCTCAGTGACTGAGTCACACAAAGTTCTGTTTTGAAGCCTGACCCCTTGAGGATATAACCCATGACCCACAACTTTCCTCCCCCTAGGAATCTGGGCTCATTTGAACTGGGGCCAGAATTCGGTAAGGCTGTTTTTTCCCCTGTCACTTTGCCCCCCCCCTGGAGTTAATCCAGGAAAATCTCCAAAATAAAGCTTAGGTTCCCTCAAATGTGAGTAACAAGGTTCCCAACACCCACACAGGCATTTAACGTCTATTATGGATATTAGTGATGGGACAGACTTTATTTTATCCATCACAGAAAATGAAAAAGATACAAATCATTCACAGTACCAAATTGACATCTAAATATGGAGACATAAAATACACAAATGTGGTGAAACTTTGGGTTTATTCTCCTGATCCAAAAGCACACTAGCATTTGGGGTCCTCAGGATAAGGCTGGCTGAGTCTCCCACTCAGGATTCTAGGGGTTTTTAACCCTACTTCTGTTTGCTCAAGCTGTCATTCTGATGTTTTCTCCCCTCTACCAATATCCAGGTACATGTAATCACTTCCCCATATCATTGATTGACCCAGTGATCAATGCCTAGGCATTAGAAAAAAAAAAGTAAAAATACAGCAGATACATACAATTCTGCATCCTTTTTTGTGAATATTTAATTTTTTTCCCCCAATTACAAGTAAAATCAATTTTTAACAGTCAATTTAAAAAGTTTTTAGTTCCAAATTCTCGCCCTCCTTCCCTCCCTTCCCCCTTCCCTGAGATGGTAAGTAATTTGACAGCGGTTATACATGTGCAACCCTGTACCCTTTATTAATTGCTAGTGGAAAATTGGAGCTTTTCTGGGCTCTGGCAGTATTTTTGTCTCTTCAGTCAAGGATCTCTGGAGTTACTCATGACTCTTACTTAATCTGTCATCTCTGTTTCCAATCTGATGTTACTCTTCTGATCCAGGCCATCAAATGTGTTTTTAAAAAACAGCTTTAAAAAAGGAGCTTCAAATTAAGTAAACATCATTTTCCCAAAGCTCAGTCCTCTGACAGACTTCTATCATCCACTGAAAACAACCATCCAGGAGTGAAGCAATAGCCCAATGCAACTTCAGGGTAAGTATGAAAGTCATTTAGTACACCAGCTCTAGGAAGGGGGAGGGGAGGGAATAAGCATTTTATATGGACTCACTATGGGCCAGGCACTATGTTAAGTTTTTACAAATATTATCTCATTTGATCCTCAAACAATCCTTTTTACAGTTAGGGAAACTGAGGTTAAGTGACCTGCCCAGAGACTGTTGCTATTCAGTTGCTTCAGTCGTGTCCGACTCTTAGTGACCCCATTTGAGGTTTTCTTGGCAAAGATACTGGAGTGGTTTGCCATTTTCTTCTCCAGCTCATTTTACAGATGAGAAGACTGACGCAAATAGAGTTAAGTGACTTGTCCAGGGTCACACAGCTAGTGTCTGAGGCCAGATTTGAATTCAGATTTTCCTGACTCCCTACCCAGGGCTCTATCCACCGTAGCATCAGTTGCCTCTGACTCTGAAGACTTTACCACCATCAAGGCTATGAGGTACATTTATAGCAAGTGTGGCATGTCTGTACATCCTTGCATTTCAAAAAAGATGGTAGGGAAGCAGGCAGGAAGCTGTGGCCTGACCACAAGAGATCGGAACAATGAAAACAAATGATAGTGTACAATGAGCACCAGAATTCAAAATAACTAGACTTTGAAAACTTCCAGAGACAGGGGGCCACTTTCAATTCAGTGTCAGAGAACAGATTACAAAACAATTATTGTATGTTTAATTTAATAAAAAGAATTAAAAGGGGGGAAAAAAGATCTAAACTGTTGAATGACCCCTCCTGTCTGTTCCTCATAAACTTGGATTATTACACCTTCTTCCTTCATGCCCAGCTCTTTTGGAAAATGATTATCTGCATTTGTTTGAGCACCAAAGAGAAAACTGAGTTCTTTGGAACATTTTGTTTTTGATAGTATGATTTCTGAGTTTCTGGAGATATGTTGTAATTTTCACTTTGAAGTAAATTTCACTGCTATGCAGCCCAATGACTTTGAGCTTAATTCCTTCTCTGTTTTAATCTCCCTTCACCCCTAAATTCTCAACAACTGGGTGGTGCAGTGCATAGATTACTGGGCCTGGAGTTAGGAAGATTTGAGTTCAAATCCCATCTCAGACACTCATTACCTGTGTGACCCTGAGCTAGTCACAACCTCTGACTTACCTTCGTTTCCTCAGCTGTAAAAATAGGGTTAACGATAGCATCTACCTCACAGGGCTGTTGTGAGGATCAAATGAGGCAATATTTTTAACAGTGTAGCACAGTGCCTGGCACTTAGTGGGTGTTTAATAAACACTTACTCTCTTCCCTTCCCTCCTCAGTTGAAGATGTTGCGTCCTGGTCAGAGATGGCAATGGATGCTTCTCACCTGGGGCGGTTTGGGGGATGGATGGGTCTGAGTCTCAGTGTGATGCGAGCTTCAGCAAGTTGAGATCTCCCTTTCTGGGACCCTGAAAGCTATCTCCCTTCCCCACAACACAACACAGCAGCCACTGGGACTTCCACACGGTTATCAACTTAAGCCGTTACTGAGGAGACAGAGTAAGAACAGCAGCACAAACCATTCTCTCATTCCCACTCTCTTGGGAATTTGTGATAGTGTTTGTTGTTCATTCTTCATTCTGGAAGGGGACCAATGCTATCACGGGCGATGTCTTGACTTGTCCATGAATTAGATTCAGGTGAGGCAGAGTTGCAGCCTCCCTCTCCCTTCCAGAGTCATCAAAGTCCAGTGGCAAGACAAAGGCAAGACAAAGGGGGAGCTAGGTGGCGCAGTGGATAGAGCACCAGCCCTGAATTCAGAAGGACCTGAGTTCAAATCCAGACTCAGACACATAACACGCTGTGTGACCCTGGGCAAGTCACTTAACCCCATTGCCTAGGCCCCCCCCCAAAAAAGACAAAGGGACAACTGACCTGGGATGCAGTTGATAACTGTGGCGTCTTTGATGTCTGACCAAGATCTAAGCAGTTCACCTGCCTTTATGGACATGCCAATATATTGGAACAAATTGTTCTCACCTGTCCATTCCATCAGATATAGTCTTCACATTAAATTCTTTTCTTTTTTTTAAGGCAATTGGGGTTAAGTGACTTGCCCAGGGTCACATAGCTAGTAAGTGTCAAGTGTTTGGTCTGAGGTCACATTTGAACTCAGGTCCTCCTGACTTCAGGGCCAGTGCTCTATCCACTGCACCACCTAGCTGCCCCTATCTGATAACTTTTCAAATGAACTGGTTGGCAATAGTGATCAGTCATTCGGTAGAGTTTCTGTGAAAATGTAACTTGGTGACAGTGGTAGAAGAGAAGAAAGTCCTCTGAAAAGATTCTGTACAAAGGTTAGTTTGTATGTAAACACTGCTAAAAAATGAAGCAATATGCATTTGAACTGGAAGTCCATTTATCATTTCATATAGCACTTATCATTAGCCAATAGAAAAGTAAATATTCTAAATTGTAACTAGCTATTCATTTACTTAATCAGCCAGCAGGGGAGTATAGTATATAAATAATTTGGGAACAAGGTGGCACTACTCTCAAGCGACCTGCCACGTGGCTCTGTCAGATGATATTCAGGACACAGGTGCTGGCTTTCTCAAAGGCTGTCGTGTCCCTACTGCTCATCAGAGGAGCCCTAGTCTATAAATTTTTAGACAACTCCCCCCTCCTCACCCTCCACCCTCTCCAAGGTTACACAGTTCCTGGCATCTAGGGACTGGCCCAGGGTTTGATAGAGATCTAGTAGTAAAACATAGATTATGCTTCCAAATTCCTAAAAACCTTTGATCTCTGATCTTGTGCCCCTATCCTACACTTGGTGAATTTTGTGTTCTCAACCTACCAACTTCAATCATAGGCTCAATTTACTTAAAATTATTGCTCTCTTTTGTTATTATTAATCTAACAAATGTCAACAGACGTCATCTCCATATACAATAATAATGAGGGATCAGATCAGGGGTGGGGTATGGCCCTCTAGGTCCTCATATGTGGCCCTTTGACTGGGTTAGGATTCAGTCAAAGGACTGCACTTGAGGACCCAGAGGGCCACAAGTGGCCTTGAGGCTGCAGGTTCCCCACCCCTGGACTAGAACATGGGTAAGACTCTTCTGAAGCCTGTTTCCAGGAGAGTCATGATGACATAGAATGGAAATGCTTAGAGATACTTTGGTGCATGTGGGGACATTCAGTATCTGGTTTCCTGTCTGGCAACTATATGGAAGAGAGCAACCATTGATTGACTGTAGTTTTGGAACTAGAATGGAAGATGCCTTCAAAAAGGCTGAAAAAACTTGCTAATTTCTCAAGGGTCCCGAAAATCAGGGTATCCAAAACCAAAAATCCTGAGTGGAGTACCTCTCTGAGTCCCCACAAATGTGAAGAACCCAATATTTGTCTTGGATGAACTCTTCTCACAATCTCAGATTCAGGTCAGCTACATTTCCCCCTCAACAGTCCAGAGGTAACCCTGAGGGAGTAGAGTATTTCTTCTCTAATGCTGTTGACTAAAGTCCCCTACCCCCACTGATTATGTTTCTCCTTCTCCCAGCATCCCCCACTCTTTTTTTTTTTTTAGGCCATTGGGGTTAAGTGACTCGCCTAGCATTACACAGCTAGTTAAGTGTCAAGTGTTTGGTTTGAGGCTGGATTTGAACTCAGGTCCTCCTGACTCCAGGGCCAGTGCTCTATCCACTGCGCCACCTAGCTACTCCAGCATTCCCCACTCTTAACCACCAGAAACTGGAGTCCTGGCTCCCTTTAATCACTTAACATCAATTAAATTTTAGACAGGCTTATTCACTTTGAAAATACTGCATGAACAAAAGTACAAACATTTCTCCCCAAGACCTCTGAAGCAGACTGAGATACCCTATACCACCTCGGTCTCTGGAGAGAGTAGATTCAGGCTTAGCATAGTTTGGACATAGAAGTTGTCCTTTCAAGTTTCCATACAAATGTGACATTGTGGCTGGATAAGACCTCATGTTAGTTACTGCTGGGCTAGGTTCTAAAGCTGCTCCTGCATGCCCAGGGCATCATTACTGTGGCTGGTGGCAAAACCCCAAATGGACTCAACTCCTAGACTCCCCAAGTCCTAGACAATTGGATGCTCAGATGCCCAGACTCTTTGACATCTCATTCTTTCGACCTGTCAAACTTACAAGGTGGAAGGCTCTTAATTCCTTCACCTAAAACAAAAGAACAAACACAAGTCTCATTTTCATGGGTCTACATGTCATCTTTGGAGGGAGAGGGCCCAAAGTCTTTGCCCTTTCAGAGTTGTCTCTCTGGATTCCATAAAAAATCTGCCAAGAAAAAAAAAGCTGAGGTCAACTAAGGTCTTTTGAAGGTGCCACAAGTTCTGATGCTGCAAATAAAGCCAACCAAAGAGACTGCTGCCCACCACATGGTTAGCAGACCAGAACCAGTTACAGAATTTCTGCATATATATCACAATATTTCTATTACAAGTCATCACAACTCATGCGGAAGCAGGTTCCCTGACTCTTCAATGTAGCATCAGAGATGCTCTGTGCATGTGTCAATCCCCTCTTTCACAAAAAAAGAACAGGAAAAGAGAGTTCCACATGAAGTAGCAAATCCCTACCACATACAGCTTACCTTTTTATAGGAGGTTGTAACAGATTCAGTACAGCAGTTCTGAAACTGTCCTGCTTGCCTGTGCCGTCCTCTGAACTTCCTTCTGCTTTCTTCTGTGCTTTAAAAAAACAGTTTCATTGTCTTTTTTTCCTCTTTTATTATTATTTTTTTGCATTTCTCTTACTAATGCCCTCCCCCACACACAATTTTCTCCTTGGGAATAAAAAGTAAAAGTGGTCCCTTGTAACAATAAGTGTAGTCAAGCTAAACAAACTTACACGTTGGCTGAAAAGGTGTGTCTCATTCCGTGCCTCTAGTCCATCGCCTCTCTGTCAAGAGGTGGGAAACATGATTCATTATTTATCTTCTAAAGTCATGATTGGTTATTAAATCCATCAGTACCGAAGTCTCTCAGAGTGGTTTGCCATTACCATGTTCTAATCATTGTATACATTGTTCTAGTTCTGCTCACTTTACTCTGTATCAGTTCATATAAATCTAATAAGGTTTTTATGAATCCATTCCTCTTGTAATTTTTTATAGAACAATAATATTCACATGCTATAATTTGTACAGCCATCTCCCAATTGATGGATACCGACTTTGTTTCCAGCTTTTTGCTATTGCGAAAAGTGTTGCTATAAATATTTTCGTATATGTATGTCCTTTTCCGCTTCCTTTGCTCTTCTTGGTAAATAAGCCTAGTAGTGGGATTGCAGGGTCAAAAATTGTGTTCAGCTGGTTCTAAACTTCTTTCTAGAATGGCTGGATCAATTCACAGCTCCACCAATGACAATTTACTAATGTGCTTCCCCTTTGCATCCCCTCCAACAGCTGTCATTTTAAAGTAGGATAGATTTAAGTAGAACTGCAGAAATTTAATTTGCAATTCTCTCATCATTAGTGACTGGACATAGTTGTCAATAGCTTGCCTTTTTTTTTTTATATCAATTCCATATACCTCTTAGATCTCAGACCTTTATCAGAGATGTCTGCCTTAAAGATTTTTCCTCAGTTAACTGTTTCATTTCTAATTTTAACTGCATTTTGTTTGTGCAAAATCTTTTCAATTTTATCTGCTTCAAATTGTCCATTTAATCACCTGTGATCATCTCTTACTTTATCCCTTGCTTGGTTATAGAGTCTTCCCTTTTCATAGTGATGAAAGCTATCTCCTTCCATGTTTGTGTAATTTGTGTACGATACGGCCCTTTATGTTTAGGTCACATTTAACTTTGGAGCTTATTGTGATATGTTGTGTGAGAAGCTGGTCCAATCCCAGTTTCTGCCAGATTGCTTTCTAGTGTCTCCAGCAGTACTTGTTGAATAGTGAATCCTTACCTCAGTAGTTGGGTCCTTGGATTTATTAAACCCTATGCTACTATGTTAGCTTCTGGATCTTGTGCTTCTATCTAATCTGTACCACAGATTGACTTTTTTATTTTCTAACCAGTAGAAAACAGTTCTGATTACTATTTTGTTTGTTTTGTTTTTTTGGTTAGGCAATGGGGTTAAGTGACTTGCTCAGGGTCACACAGCTAGTGAGTGTTATGTGTCTGAGGCTGGATTTGAACTCAGTTCCTCCTGACTCCAAGGCCGGAGCTCTATCCACTGTGCCACCTAGCTGCCCCTGTAATATAGTTTTGAGATGTCTTACTGATAGCACCTCTTCCTTTCTGCTTTTAAATTTTTCTTTTGAGATTCTTGACCTTTTCCCCCACCTCCATATGAATTTTGTTATAGTTTTTTTTCTATCTCTATAAAGTAATTCTTTGTTACTTTGATTGGTATGGCACTGAATCTTCAAACTGATGTAAGTAATATTGTCATTTTTATTATTTTAACACAGCTCAACTGTGAACAATATCATCTATATTTTCAGTAAAGATTTGCATTCATATAATTCCTATGTGTCTTGGTAGTTAAGCTCCCAAGTATTTTATACATTTTGTAGTTCTTTTAAATGAAGTTTCTATTTTGTCTTTACTACTGGGGTTTATTGATAAGATACAGAAAGACTGATGATTTTTGTGGGTCTATCTTGTATTCAATAACTTCACTGAAGTTATTTCAATTCATAGTTGTTTAATTAATTTGTTTCAATTAACTTTCAGCTGAATCTCTAGGGCTCCCTAAGTAAGCCATCACATCATCTGCAAAAAGTGATAATATTTTTTCCCTTTTTGCCTAAGCTTATTTCCTCACTTTCTTTTTCTTGTCTTACTGCTATAGTTAGTGTAGATAAAACTATATCAAATGATAGTGGTGACAATGGACATCCTTGCTTTACTTCTGATCTTACTGGAAAGGTCTCTGGCATTTATCTATTACAGATAATGTTGGCTCTTAGTTTTAGATAGATGTTATATATCATATGAAGAAAAATTACATGTTTCTATGATTTTAATGTATTTTAGAACAAATGAGTGATATATTTTGTTAAAAGATTTTTTCTGCATCTATTTTATATTTATTCATATAATCAAGTAATATTTGTTTTTGTTATCAATACTTTCTATTATGCTTATAGTTTTGCTAATATTGAAGCAACCTTGCATTCCTGGTATAATTCTAACTTTTAAATATGTTGTTGTAGCTATTTTGATAATATTTTATCCAATATTTTTGTATTGATATTCATTAGGGATATTGGTCTATAGTTTTATTTCTTAAATAAAGCTTGAATTCTTTCTTCAAATGCCCTTATCAATCATGATTTACTATGTTGTGGACAACAAAGTAAGTGTGTCTGCATTTGGTTTTGAACTGATGCAAAGTGAAGTGAGTAGAACCAGAAGAACACTGTACACAGTAACAGCACTATGGTAAGATGATCAACTGTGAATGACTTGACTATTCTTAGCAATACAATGATCCAAGACAACTCAGAAGTACTTATGATGAAAAATGCTATCCATCGCTAGAGAAAGAACTGATGGAGTCTGAATGCAGACTGAAGCATACTTTTTAAACTTTATTTTTCTTGGGTTTTTATTTTGGTCTGTTTTCTTTTATAACATGACTAATATGGAAATATGTTTTGCATGACTACACATGTATAGCCTATATAAAATTGCTTGCCTTCTCAATCAGGGGATGGGGAGGGAGCGAAAGAATTTAGAACTCAATTTTCAAAACAAATGTTGAAAATTGTTTTTACATGTAATTGGGGAAAAATAAAATACTAAATTTTTTTTAAAAAGCAAGTTTTATATAACAGACTTGTGATTTCATGTGCAATTCTTCTTTTAGCTCTATCCACTGTGCCACCTAGCTGCCCCTGACTTGGATGTATTCTATACCAAACTCTGTGTGTGTGTGTGTGTGTGTGTGTGTGTGTGTGTGTGTGTGTGTGTGTGTGAATGTGTGTGTGTTTTAAAACATCGTTTGTTCATGTAAGAATGAGGTTCATGAGATGCCTGCTCATCCCATCCTTTCTTCCATGTTTATATTCTCTTCAAATTCACTTTGGTTATAAGAAATAGTAAGTTCCTCTCACTTCTTCATTTCTTTCTTAGCTTATTCCTTCTCTCCCACTCTTTCTTTCCTTTCTTTAAACTATCAAAATGGAACAAACTATGCCCCCTCACCTGGCCCCCAGGCTGTTTTTTTTTTTTTAACTTTCTCTGCTAGCAGGTTTTGGACCTGTTTACCTGAGCTCAGGCTGATTTCCCTTGGTGGGATGCTTTTTTCACTGTCCCAGGCTTCTGGACACTTTTTCTGAGCAGTTCTCAAGCTGGATTCATGAATTTACTGTTGCTTCTATTTGGACTTCTTGATCATTGTTTGGTTTGATGTCTATTTTAGATCTTTGCTGGCATATTTGCTGGACTTCTCTATGACCTTTCAAGTATTCCTTAATTGGAATACTACAATTAATTTTTTAAAAAAAAATGTGACCACATGTTTTATTAAGACATACTAAAATATAAAAATCTATAAATATAATTGAGTCATATTAAAACTGTAAAAAAAGTTGGTTTTCCCAATAGACTCCTCTCCAGTAAGTAAATTTGGGGGTAGGGTAGACTCAAGATAGGAGAGAATTAGGGGGGCAGCTAGGTGGCACAGTAGATAAAGCTCCAGCCTTGGAGTCAGGACGACCTGAGTTCAAACGTGACCTCAGACACTTGACACTTACTAGCTGTGTGAGCTTGGGCAAGTCACTTAACCCCGATTGCCTCACCTCCCCCCCCCAAAAAAAAAGAGAGAATTAGGGAAGGGATTGTGGGATTGGAATTTACTGAGACAGACTCAGCAAGTAGTCAGAGAAAACAGAGAGGAGATGCCAAGGTTTGGGAATAGCCTGTCATGTGGCTTCAGTTCTGCTGGGGGTTCTACAGAGACTGAAATTCCCATTCAGTGTCATTCCATTCTAGTCTCAGGCTTCCAGTCTGTCTCATATCTCAAATGCCCTGGCTCCATCTCTTCAGATCTCTGTCACAACCACCATTGCTTTCTGGGATCTACTCAGTTTATTCTTCACAGAACCCAGCTCAATCTTCAGCTGGCCCAAGATCCATGGCAGGAAGCACAATTAGGAAGCATCTCTAGGCTGCTGCCCCACTGAGAACTCGCAGACTCAAAAAGCTTTCCACTCCCAGGTGCATGGAAGAAATGGAGAGGAAAGGTAGACCAGAAATCTCTTCAAGGGGAAAGAGAAGAGGAAATTTGAGGATGCTTCTCCCATGACCTCACTGATCTATTTCCTCCAGTTGGCTTCTCAGAAGCATTAGAGGAGACCTCAAGTGGCTCTGCGGGAGATGGCATTGTTTGTCCTTCACTTTCAAAGAGGACCAGTCACATCACTGGGTGACGTCTTGACATGCCCATGAATTGAATTTAAGTGAGGCAGAGTTGCGCAAAGCAAAGTCATCAACTTCACTCCATCCAGTCATCGAACTCCACTGGCAAGAGAAAAGTCAAGATGACTGGTGATGGAACGGAGTGCAATGAAAGACCTTGGTGTCTTCACAAGCTTTGAGTGCTCTGTAGCACCTACTTTAGCTGCCTTTATGGCTGTTGAAACAAACTGTCCTCATCTGCATATTGCACCAGAGGAAGTCTTCATATGCTTGGGGTAGACATCCCCATAACTCACTGATGGATTTGAGGCCTATCAGTTACCCTCAAACTGGTTTAACCCATCTGCTGAGATGGTTTACCAGCGACGGTGTGGCCGTGAGGCATGCTACAGCCACAGGTGAGAGTTGGAATGGGATGGAATAAGGAAGAGCTAGATAGGGTAAACTAGAATGATATCTGAAAGTAGTCCATCATTATCAGATGAGTTCTTGAGGCCAGATCCAAGAAACTGCTAGATTGGAGATTCTTTCTTCTTCTTGGGATAGTGCTGACTTATCAAAGACATGATCTCTGGCAGATAGGATATGCAACCCCAGTAATCAAGGGTGGGATGACAAAGTTGTTGTTGATCCACTGCAATGATCAATAAATCGAGCTGCCTAATGATGGTGCAGAAGATGAAAATTTCAGTGAATGTGACAACAGAAGGCCC